GGGTCCTCTGAGAAATGTCTGTCTCTGTCTCCTTTGTAAATCCCCTCTAGGTCATCAAAGAGAGCAAACAGCAGGTAGATCCCTGTAGACCTCTGCAGATGGTTTGATTCTGAACAGCAACCCAGTGTGATGTCTGAAACCCCTGAGAGTGTGTGCATCACTGGGTGACCCATTCAGCCTGTGCCTCAGCTCAGGTGCTTCAGCACACAGAAAAAGGAAAGAAAAGGAGACTCCTGCACATTTATATTTGGATCTTAATAGATCAAATGCAAAAATGGTTCATATCGTGTCCCCACAGTACACCCAGTCTCAGCACTCTCTCCAGTTCAGTGCCAAGTCCAGGTCTTCTGGGCACAGCAGCCAGCAAACAGTACCAGGGAGCCAGTACCCCAACCCCAGGATTTGGAATTGCTCCAGAAGGTACTATCTGGGCATGTTTGTTTAGCTACCATAATTCAGAGTGCACTGTACACCAACCACCAGTGCTGCCCTTCAGCAGCCCTCTCTGTCCTGAGCTGCAGGGCAATACAGGAGCCAACAACAGCATTGTTACTGCCAGGGATTCCCAAATGTATGGTCCTTCCACTGGATGCTCAGGCAAGGCTCCCTGAGCACAAAGGACCAGAGCATGGCCTAGTGCCTAGCACTAACTCAGCCCCCCACACCCAGGCCATGAGTGAGCAAGCCAGAAGCAATCCCCGATGTTTCATTCACAAAACACGCTCCCCTCTTTATCAGGAGCCTCCGGCATTTTTCAAATACTCTGACACTGTCCCGACCTCCTGCTGTGTGCAAACTCCACAGCACCAGCCTCACGGTCAATAAAAATGGTAACAAACCTTCTCCAGACTCACACGGCTGAAATGGATGCAGATCCCTGAGCCTCCTCTCCTCCAGGCTCAGCTTAATTAGGGAGCAGCCAGCAAACCACAAGTGTGCTCACAAAAGAAGCTTGCATCTAAAGGGCTCTGACTGCAGCTCTTTGTAACTAGTCACAAACATCTGGTGCCTGGCAAGCTTGCCTGCCTCTTGGAAGGGGTTTCCAATGAGAAAATTCTTGTAGCTTGCACCTGAATTCTCTGCAGCACACCGTGCAGTACTGAGATCTCTCCCAAGGCTCCTCTTCTAAGCTGCCAGCTTTGCAGAAGCCATTTCTGGCACTGATTTCCCCACCATGGCCTTCCCGCCCACTACAACGCATTTTAAATAGTGCACGTGGTCTGACAGAGAACAGTTATTCCCTTGAATGTTTGCGGATTGAAAAGCAGTTTTAAAAATTCAACTGATAGTGTCAGTTCCGGTTTTATTGACACAATGGAACAGAGCCCACCGTGGGGACAGTCCCCTCAGAGGAGGGGAATAGGGGTAATTATTTTCTCCTCTTTTAGTAGCCCCCTTCACATGCACGTATGTGCAGCTGTGCTCAACAGCCAGCCTTGTGGAGACTTCCTTAAGTATCTATTGAAGATTAAATGATCTCATGTGCAGCCTGTAATGATGGCCTCTACCAAAAACTGTTTCCATCTGAAAGCTGCCCAGTGCTGCATGATCCAAAATGAGCTCCTGACCTCAGAAGAGAACCCGGCAGGCAAACCACCACATCACAGAGACTCAGCCCTCTGCACGCACCGCTAATTGTCCCCTTGTCTGCGGGCTCCGAGGGAAGGCAGCTACTCAAGGGCAGGGGAACTGTGCTCCCAGCTTGTGTTACTGAGGGACTTTCTCCTAAGCCCCATTTCCAGCACGCTTATGGAGATGCTGCCCCAGTCCCTGCTTGGGACAGGTACCTTTCACCTGGCAAAGTCACCACACCTCTAATGCAATTCCAGTAAAGCCCATCCGAATTGTCCCACCCACAAGTGCAGGCATTGGATTCGACCCTGCAAACTAACCAAATAACCCAAAACCAAACCCAACCTCAGTGCAGGGAGAGGCAAACCTGCCATGAACATGGATGCTCGGACTCAAACCAGTCCCAAACCAGAAAGCATCTGTTGTCACTGCATTTCCACAAGATCCTGCTGAAATTAGGACCAGCTCCCTGCTGTGACTCTATTCCCCAGTGAGGGTTGCAAGCACCAGCGTGGTAAAAGGATCTTGATGGGTAAAAATTATGCTTCCTTTTAAGAAGACCCACTAATGGCACCTTGTGCATCTGTCACTGCATTAACAACATCAATTTGAGACTGTGCATAAGCTGGGTAAGTAGTGAAGGGAACAGCTTGCCTACATTAGGAGGTATGGCTGAAGGGAGACCTTCGGCTTTGTTTCTCTGGAGGGGTTGTGATCAGCTAACAGGAAAGTGGATACTTTCTTGTGGGTATTCACATTTCTGCAGATTGGATTCCTTATGTATAGGAAGGGGGAGACCTCTCAGATCAATGTGGGAAGAAGGAGTGGGAGACTGTAGAATAATATTTGGGAGGGCAGCAAAGGGAGGGCAGTTACAGCAATGGTAAAACACACGAGTGAATTCTGGAGAGCAAAGCTACAGGAAAAAAGACACAAACTCAGGTTGTGGGGTCACTTTCACCCCCTCCCTCCCAAGAGTCTGGATTTGCCTCCTTCCACACCCTGCCAAGAAAAACAAGGAAACTAAATATAAAAATGCAGTGATCTGGGGAGCTGCTCCAATGCCCAAAACGTAGGTGTCTAATGCTGTTTTAGGCTCTGCTGGTGATCCAAGACATCTGTGTGGGGCTGGCAGATACAGCACCGGACCTATGGCAGGCTCCCTCCCTCCCAAGGCAGCAGCCAGAGGCCAGGCAGGGTACCCTGGGGCATGGAAAAGGGTACTCCATGCCTGCATTTGGGCATCTGAACAGCTTCCCCAGAGCCCTGTGTGTTTGGACAGTTGGAGTTAATCACAGAAGAGAAACAGAACTTCACTTAACAAACAGCACTGTGAGATCTGGTAGCAGAGAGGGTAAAATAGGATCTGAGCACACGGGACAGTCCAGCAGAGTCGGAGGGAGGAGGATGGGCAGGAGGGGAGGACAATGTTCAGGAAAGCATCCGAGTAGAGCAGCTGCCAGCAGCTTGGAGAAGTTTCAAATTCCTTTTGCGCCACACCGAAGTTTAGTCATAAATGACAACTGGGGACCTGGGGACAGAGGGATATTTTCTGACGGGTGTGATCTGCTGGCTTTTTAGACTCTTATGTGTTCCACATGTCTGAGCGCCTCCCAAACACGTCCTCTGCACATGCCGTGCAGCACGGCTGCGTTATCCTCCCCGCCTTGCGGACTGGCATCTGGAAGCACGGAGGGATGGATGTTTTCAGCAGCCCACATGGCAGTCTCAGGCCTGACCCCAGTTGTTGTCAGTGGGAGTTTAGGCCCCAAACTTCCTTTTCATGCCTTTGAAGCCGGGAGCTTGCAAAGGAGACAGACTTCAGTCAGACCTCAGCTCCCGGCTTAACCCTTTCACCCCGTGCCTGTCCTCCCTCAGTGGGTAAAATAGTGGGTGTTTCTGTGCTTCGTTTTAATTTATATGCAGCAATTAATTTTTCCAATGGGCGAATAAAATAATCCTCTAAGGGCAATGTAACTCAGCCCTCCAGACTTCCCATCCCTTTCTCTCCTGCCCCCATGCAATGCAAACAGCCCCAGAGTACAGGGCAGCTCAGTGCCATCCTTATCCCCCACCCTTCCTTCCAAACAGCCTGTTAGAGAAAGAAAAGGAGCACAATTTTGCTGCTCCTGAAATATTGGCGAGGAGAAAATTTTGGGTCCTCTCCGTGTTTTGTTCTACTCTCTAGATTTCACCTCCACCAGAAGCTTAATCAGTGCAAATCAAATTACGCCTCCTGTTTACTTATCTCCAGAGCGCTGACACCGGCAACCCAGCTTATCTCGGCGTGGCAGGAGCCAGCGCCTTCCTTGGGGGTAGGACAGGAACTCCACAGAAGCTACTTGTAGTGGGAGAAGGAGCGTAAATCAGGGAAAGGTCTGATGGCTGTGCTCCCCAGCAGCGAGGTTACGCTCCCCGTGCTCCGCTGCTTGCCAGGGGCAGTGCAGGGAAGCCGAAGTCCGAGATGCCCACGGAGTGGAAGCTATCTTCTCCCTGTGGATTAGCAGCCTGGAAGCTAGGGTTTGGATTTTGGCTTACTCATTTGTAAGAAGGAGGCGGTGATTGACCTGTCCGCGGCGGTGAAGGTGGGGTGTTTCGCAGTCACCGCATCCTTCGCGCTGCTCCTGTGGTCAGACCGCCCTCCTGCCAGGGAAATGGGGGTTATTTCCCGGCAGAGGTGGGGCACAGGGACTTTATGAGCACATCCCACTGCCCAGGAGCACGCAGACACCCCAGGGCTGGCCCATGCTGACTCATTTTACTCCCGTAACAGCTTTGTGCCTCAGTTTCCCCTCTGGTGATAGTGTTGGCTTTGTCCCGATGCTGCTCCGAGACGCCTCGGCAGGGCAGCCTGTAAAACAGAGGTGTAACCTGCTTATTGCCGTGCTTTGCACCGCTGGGAGCACTTGGAGCCTTGGGCGTCGCCAACACGAGCCTGCCAGCACCTGGGATAGATAAACTGACTGCGCTGGGCTCATGCTCCTGCCAGTTTTACGTGGTTGCGGGATAAAAGCAGAGCTGGGGGGAGTGGGGTGAGTCGCCCTCATCGGGGTCCCACCTCCTCCACCCGGGGAAAAGTTGCTGTGCCAGAGGGCTGATGCACACCCACTGCATCCTCCAGGGGAAAACTATCCCGATCCCGGGTTTCCCCGTGGTTTGCGTGTGTTTAAACATAACTTGGCCCCACAGAGTGAACCCGGCGCCCTTCCCCGCCTGCCGCCGGCAGCGGGAGGGAGGGAGGGACGGAGGGCACCGCCCGCCCCCGGGGCTGCCCCGCGGGTCCGGGCGGGGGGCGCGGGCGGGACGCGGGGCCGGGGCGGAGCGGAGCGGAGCGGGGCAGCCCCGCCGCGGCGCCGGGAGGGAGCGGCGAGCAGGGCTGGGCGAGGGATCGCGCGGGAGCGCCTCAATCCCCTTCGTTCTCCCCGCAGATCTTTCAATGGAGGCAGCTGGAGAACCTCTATTTCCGCGAGAAGAAGTTCTCGGTGGAGGTGCACGATCCGCGCAGGTGAGCGATGAGCCGAGCCGGGATGAGCCGAGCCGGGATGAGCCGGGCTTTGCTGTGCCGAGCCTTGAGCCGGGTCTTGCCGAGCCGCGCTGCCCTCGCCGCGGCTCGCTGAGCTTGGGAACCCGTAAGAGAGGAACAGCGAGTGCCAAGCCGGGTGCCTCTGCTTCCTTCCAGCGGGACATTTTGTGTTTTGGTGGGTGTTTTTGAGGATGTGTTTCCCCTCGGCTCCCAGCGGTATTTTTTTTCTCCTTCCCTCTGTTTTGGCACCTTGTGACCCCCGGGACTGTGCAGCTCTGGTGCCCCAGCTGCGGTGCCAGCGGCCTCCGTGAGTTAAAGGGGGTTTTGCCTTGTCCCCTTGTTGCACCCGGAGCCCGGAGTTGGGCGCCAGATTTTGTACTCACATGCTTCCTTGTAAATAAATATTCAGTAGTGCAACTGAAAGGAATGGCACGGAACCAGAGGTTTACCGGCAGCCTGGATGAAAGCCCATCAGTCTTTTTGGCGCGGGAGTCTTTTTTTCTTACTTTAGAAACCTAACGTGAGAGTGAAGTTCAAGAGACTGTGCTGCATCTCATCGGAGCATTCAGCACCCCTTGTGTGTTTGCATTAGTGGATGGTTACTGCAGTGACCAGTGTGGATAGAGGTCTGTACGTTTTTTGCACTAAAAGCAATGTCTCACTTGCAGTGTAACTGTGATACAACTGGCGGAGACCAACTCTGTTCCCAGGCTGATTTGATGTGCTGCTGGTAGTAGTGTGCTTTGCTGATCACTCAGCTGTGATTCTGTTTCACCTGTTTCCCACGCTTATCTGTGTAGAAATATACGTACTTTTGTCAGTGGAATTTTGCGTGCAGTTTCTGTGCCTATTTACCCTGATATGAACATGGTCACCCCAGTGCAGCAGTGCCTGTCTGCAGAGGTGCATTTTGTTAAAGCAAAAACAGAATAGAGCAGCTCATATCATTGTGCAGCTCTAGGTCGGCAGACCCTTGAAGCATCTGCTTAATATTAAGCATGTAAATAGTCGCTTGGAATCTAGCAGGGCGAATTCCCAAAGTCGGGAATCCGCTGGGAGATCTTCCAGCAGCAGGAGCTGGGGGTGGTGCGCTCCTTCCCTCACCGAACCTCCGGAGGCGTCAGAAGCGCATGCTGCCATCAACCAGCAGCCAGGAGCCCCTGAATGCCCTGAGTTATGGCTGTTTCCTGCAAGGAGCGGTTGCAAGGAAAAGAAAGGAAATAGCTCAGGGACTTTGAAATCACGATGATACTTGCAACTCAATGTCATGCATGAAGCGTGACCACACAGACCAGCTCTTCTGTTTTGTTTGTGTTTAGATGATAGGAATTAGTGACACAGAAGAGCTTCCGCTTTTTTATTCCATCGCGTTGCTTCTCTGAATCAACACCAGGAGGATAAAGCCCTGTCCCAGGTTGTCAGCCTGGTACTTTTCTCGCTACAAGGGAATTATTGTGGCTGTGTTTTGAATCAGTTTGATTCGGTTTTATATTCAGAGCACCACCCTCCAGGTCGAACTGGTGCTCTGGCTGTAAAGCAGCACGGCACGTTGCGGTGGCGTGGTGGGAACACAGCTCGGTGTGTAGTCTCCTGGCCAAGTGGGATGGACTCCTGCGAGGAGTTGTTCCGCATGTGGAGGCGGAGGAGTAGCCAACACAGTGCTCTCTCCACATTCCTCTCTGTGTAGCCAAACCAGAGCCTGAGTCAGCGAAGCCACAGTCGGGAGAGCGAGCGCAGCTCCGTGATTGTGGCCAGGGCTGGGCAGCACAGTGTATGCTTTTAAGCCCTGCCTCTGCCCATGGCTTCCTGTCCCCAACAAGCCATTTAACCTCTCTTAACTGCAGTTACTTATCCCATAAAGGAGAGAAATTACACATTTTGGGGGTATCAGCAGGGTTAATTCCATAGTGCATGTAGCATGTGTGGAGGGAAGTCATGGAAAAAACACCCATGGGCCACCTCTCTCAGGTCCACAGAAGACAGCAGAGAAAAACAAGTCCACAGGTCTGACCAGCAAAGTCTGCAGACTTTTGAATGGGGTCTGCAGTTTTGATGAGAAACATGTACAAGTCCCAAAGAGAAAAAAAAATTGGAAATTACTGCTTTTACGATGAGAAGAGGAATGGTTTGCAGAATATGTTTTTGAGAATTCTTAGAGTAACTGCATTTGAACTGAATAAGATTACAATAGAGTGTCGTTAACGCCTTGCATGCCACTGTGCTACAGTGGTTGTGTCCCTTAAACCAACATTAAGCATCCAGAGTTGGATCTCTCTCTCTCTAGCCTCAGCTTCAAGATCAGCTTCCAGCACAGCCTTCGTTCACTGTCCAGTGACAGGAATGAGGCAGCTCAGCAACCATCCTCATTAGCACCATCAGACAGTGTCCTGTTGTATCCATGGAGAATTTTCTCACAAGAATAATGCTCATAAATGGGACAGTTGCATGGAAAGGGCTCAGCACAGAGTAACACTGAAACATGAGATCCCAGTTGTCTCAGACCCTGTTTGCATTGGCCACTGCTGTTTTCTCAGAAATTTCACTCCGATTTGTAGCTTCATAATTTGACTTTAACACATTTTGAAGCACTGAAAAGGCCCTGAGACACAAGAGCTGTCAGCCCTCTCCCAGGCTGAACATTGCCAGCAGTTCTCATTTTGCTGCACATGTTTGGTTTTCATTCACTCTTGGCTCTGTCACAACTTTCTTTGACTGTGGGCCTCCCCTCACCATGTTCGCCTTCAAGTTTTGACAGGGCAGTAGCCCACTGGCACCAGAGGAGAGGTGGCCACTGCAGGTGCAGGAGGTGGCCTTAGCAGGCTTGAGGACTTCTGAGTGCCGGTAAAAGAGTCATCTGTCTCTTGCACAGCACAGTGGAGCTCCTGGGTCCTCCTGCAGTGCCACCTCCACACCTGCATGGCACAGAGCCCCTGCTGACTGTGGCAGCCCCTCTGCAGTACACCTGCTCCCCAGGCTGTCTCTTGCACTGATCCCCCCTTCAGCATCCACATCCCTACGTGAAAGGGACAAGTGTCATGTTTCTGAGCGAGCCTCTGTAACCATGTCACATCATTTCACAACGCCGCAAGACTCTTCTTAACAGACTGGAGAGGAGGCCCTCATTTATTTGGGGCTCTGTAGATTGGTGGCGTGGTTTGTTCCAGCCAGCTCTCCATCCCTGCAGTGGGAGGAGTTCTGCAGAGCAGGATGCTGTGAGCCTGGATGTGCCAGTGTGCTGGTGTCAGGAGCTCTGCTGGTGAGGTTGGAGTTGAGGGATGGGGAGGAATAGTCAAGCAGTTCCGTACAGCTGTGAAAGCATGGGGAAACCTAATCTGTGGTTTTTTGCTAATGTTTGAGAACAATTGGGAGTCCCAGAGAGGAAACATTTAGCTCTTATTTTTCCTGTTTTTAAATTCACTCAGCTAATCACTGAGTTCCATTTTTCTCTCCAGGGTACTGGGCAGCCCCCTCCAAGCCTCACAACTCCCTTCTCCCATACATTTGGCAAGTCCTGCTACCTCTGTTTACAAGTGGGGAAATCGAGGTATCTGAAAAGTTTCTCCCACATTCCCTAAAGTAGCCATTGTTCCTATGGATCCTTAATTGTTGCGTGGGTCCTAATATTTGAGAGCCACTGTCCAAAGCCAGAGTTAGTGGAGGGTGTGAGGACTTGGCCCCAGGTGGCTCAGCACGTAATGAGACAGAGCATTCACACCTGCTCTGGCTTTGGTGACACCCCTGGCCTATGTAGCAAGTCAGCACCAGCTCAGCCAAACCCAGGAATACAGTCAGAACTGGACAAACTGGATCATCTTTTCTGTTAGTCCTCTGGAGCTTGCTATCTTGAGGAGATACTTAGAGTAAATGCTCTCCTGGCTTGATTAGCTATTTATTGCTGTTTTCTAAGCATTCTTTCCCATTAGCACGAGGGTGTGCACAGTAAAGACAGCAGCTTTTACTGCGAGGTCTGTGACAGGGTCTGCCACAGAAAGAAATGTGACGTAGCCTTGTTGTAACCCCAGTTCATTCTTTTCTCCTCTCCAGGGCATCTGTGACCAGGAGGACTTTTGGGCATAGTGGCATTGCTGTGCACACGTGGTACGCCTGTCCAGCACTAATCAAGTCTATCTGGGCTATGGCCATTAGTCAACACCAGTTCTACCTGGACAGGAAGCAAAGCAAGGTAAGCATGTCCGAGTGGGAAGTACATGTTGTGGTGGGTGAGTCCTTCTCACTCCTCACAGTCTCAGCAAGGTCAAGACCAGGTGGTGGCTCCTTTCCTGCCCTCCCTTTCCACCTGAGATCAGAAAAAGGCAAATTGACCCAAAATATCTGCTGGTTTTGGCCAGATTGAGAAAATTTATGTTGAATTCATGTCTGTGGGAGTAAGAGTTGAGGAAAAAGTTTTACTGAACTGTGGCCAAATTGGAGGAGCCAAAGTTTTCTAACAGATCCCTGTCTGGATGTTTTCCATGTCTTGAACTCTCTCATAAAGTTAGGGCAGCTCCCAATATCTGATTCAAAGTAGCTTCACAATCTACACCTGTTTCTGAATCTTTCTTGCTGTCCCTTGCATTTTACTATCATATTTTCCTAGAAGTGAGGGGTAATGATAGTATTTTAGGAGAGGGGCAGGAGTCTGACAGCCTGGCCTTACAAGGAACTGTCTCAATCTGGTGCTGCACAAAGGGCCACGCAGTACACAAAAGAAGCCACCTTGAAACCAGAGGAGTGTCCGTTGTCTAGTTCCTTTCATCAGTATTTTTAGGCATACCCAGACCTGCAGGAGATTGCTTTGATCACTTTGAAATCACTTGGAGACGGAGGGGAGACTTCTCGTGCAGGCTTCCCTCTCCATATGAGTACACTGGTGTAAAACTTTACAGAGAAGACAGAGTCAGTATTGAATGGGTACGTGCTTTGCTCCCCATCTCTGGCGAAAGGGCAGAATGTGCAGGTGATGCTCCTCCAAATGGCTGAAACAATCTTAATATCTTGCTACTGCTGAAAGCACTGCGAGCTTTTTCAGGCAGGGGCTGCTCTTTTCCTTGCTCAGGCCCTGACCCCCATCAGGTCCCTTAATGGGCCAGTTCAGCCCACTAAACTGGCAGGAAAATAATTATTTTTCCTGCTTTTTTTTATTGCATTATTTTTAATGCCAGTTAAATGAATTGAGTTTGCTTGCTGGAATTTTGTGAAGGGCCATCAGTGTGCTGTTAATCCCACTCTAAACCCTTCTGACATTGCTTTCCCCATCATGAGCTCTGTGGCTTTATTGCAGAGCGGGTGGGACTTTTGGATGCCCTGGGCAGAACACTCACTTTGGCCGTGTCCCATCTAATGCAAAAATCCAGGTTTCACCTCAGCTGCTGAGAGCTGTATTGAATTTAGAAATGTAGCCAACTTCCCAGCCCTGCCTAAGTGCCAGCTGTGAATATGGACAGAATTGCACGCTCACCCAATATCACAGGATGCTTTCCTGTCCCCCTTCTCTGCTCAGGATCATCAGGGCAGTGCATAGTCCTCTCTGTCAACTCAACAAACAAACAGAAGTTTATTTTTCTTTACTTTTAGCCAGATGGATTTGCTGATCTAGCTGCAAGGTATTTAGGTCACAAGCAACCAAAAACAAAAGGAGATTCCCTCCTCTTCTCATTTCTTTGGTAAGAAACTGGGTCTCTGAAATGCCCAGGAGTTCCCTTCAGTGACTTCTTTTGTTGCTGGCAGATTGTGTTTCAGTCTGATCTCCCTTCTCTCACACTCCTACAGACAGCACCACCCACCAGCCCTCATTTGTCAACCTGTCACGTCTGTGACCATGTCAGTGTGCTTTGTCACAATAATCCTGGTGGTCATGCTGAGGCTTTGAAGTTAAGGCACACAAATATTTTTGTCCCTTTCTCTAAAAGAAACTGGTATTTTAGTCAGATGTCCTCATCTTTGACGTGACACTGTCAATATTGATAGATCCATCAATTTTAATTGATCTGTTCAGTTCATCCTGCTGGGCATTTCAAGGACACTTGTACTCATTCATGTGGGCTTCACTTTGGAAAACCAGTAAATCATATCCCAGAGTGGGGTGATGTGAAATGTCTTGGTTTCAGCTCTCAGGGCCTAGACAAACATTTATTTGAGTTTCAGGTCACATGGATTTGCAGCCCCTTAAATCTCAGGCCCCACTTCAATTGAATCCCCAACTTCAAAGCAGAACTTAGATACTCCTTCCTTTCATGTCCAAACTTGGCATTTCACATCATTTTGACAAAAGAAAGAAAAATAAAAACAAACTTAGAAGAAAAAGCCTGCTGGAGCTCACTGCAGCTGAGCTTTTGCTCCAGTGATGTAGATTAGAAGGCAGAAGATGTGACACAGTGATAAAAAAAAGCTTGAACTCTGTTCCTCCCATAAATGGGCACCAGTTGGATCTGGACCTTCTGTACAGCTCCACTGGAAAAAGAAACCCTTCACTTGATTTTAAAAAGAAATAAAATCAGCTTTGCCTCGATTCTGACCCTTTTACAAGTGAGGTCCCAGCCGTCTTTGCAGCCTCACTCGGTGTTGAACTCCTGCCAGCTCCAGGTTCCCAGAGTCTCGCTCCCCGCTGATCTGTCTCTCTCTCCCTGCAATCGAAGCGTGACGTGGAGACTGAAAAGATCCCCAGCTTCCCAAGCAAACTTGTCAGCATGCAGAACTCCTGTCAGCTTCCCTTTTTTGAGGGGAGACAGATGCAGCAGGACTTCAAGGCCTGTCTTTGCTCTGTTGACTGCACTGAGTCAATCAAACATTTGGCCTAAAAACCTCGAGAAGTCCCATTTTGTGGGAATTTTCAACAGCACGTTCCACCAAGTGCAAGGCTTTTTGGCTGAGTGAACTGGTAGAAAATAGGCCAAGGATTTCAAAAAATCACCTCCAGCAAAGCCCCTGCACTGCAGAAAGAGGTATAAATTCATCCCTAGTGTCCATCTACTCCTTCATTTCACTTACGGATTTTTCTTCACCCTCTGACCCCGTCAGAACAGTGCTGGGGATCAGTTTGGCCCCATGCTTTGAAATGACTCATGAATGAGCCAGTCTCCCTCCATGTAAATGAGACTTGGCAGGTCTGCGCTAAGTGCTTTAAAATTTCTGAGCCTGGAGGGACTGCAGGGCTCGGGGGAGTGCTAATGGGGTGTAATCCAGCTTTCCACAGTTGTCTGCAGCACACAGCCTGCCCAGGCCTCGTGCTGGGTGTTGCTCGGTGGCCTGTGTGGAATGAGCTGTTGGGCTGATTCCTGCTGCTGCTGAGAGCCTGTCCAAAGCACGAGGCCACCCGATGCTGATTGGCATTGCTGTAGGGAGCAGAGGCAGCAGGGACTGAGCAGCGTGGAAAATTAACCCTATTTCTTTCAGGAGATGCTACATCCCCACTGTTTAGTGCAGAGCACCATTAGCACAAGCTGCAGTCGGATCTAAAACCGTCTGCTATGGCTTCAGCAGGTTTGAATTGTACCCTCTCTAAGGGAAGCTCTCTCTACCCTGATGATCCTATCTGCTCTCTGCTGGTTTTTTTTCCTCTCTCTGGCTCCAGGGGTGCCAGGCCTTTGTCTTACATTGTTTTCTCATTTGCCCTATGCAGGGCACACTTCCAGCCACTGCTGGCTTGGTGTGCCAGCCAGGACCACAACAGCACCTGGCAGCCTCATTGCCCTCACTCAGCAGTTTGGTTGGGGCCCAGTCAAACAGGTAGGGCCAGAGTGTGCCCCAATTTGCATTCTGGATATGAGTGGAAATAAGCTGTAGGGCTTCTCGCTGTAACTATCCTACAAATACAGGAAAACCACTGCTTCACAGAGCAGGAGGGGTGGGCCTGTCTGTGCAGACTTGGGGTTTGTGCCTTCCCAAGACTTCTGCTGCAAGGACTCAGTGTACTGAGTCAGGCAGACATTGGGTTTGATCAGTATGGCTGTTCCTGGGGTTATACAAGGTACACATAACCCTGCATCCATGTAGGGTTACATACAGCACACGTACACCTGCAGGGGATAAATCAGCGGGACAGAGGCAGTCAAACCTCCAAAGGTCTGGCATTGCAGCAAGAACAGCAGTTCATGCTCAGGCTCCTCGTCAAGACTTCAGTAGCAGGAAATCTCATTAGATAAAAGCAGTGACTTTCCTCTTCACCTAGAACTAACCTTCCAGAGCTTGTTTGGAGAACATTTTTCACAGGCCTTGTTTCTGACCAGAAACATCTGATCCAAGAAGCTAAAGAGTGCTGTCCTTCTCCTGGAGCTGATTTTATAGGGGAACTGCTGGGAACAAGAAGTGTCTAACTGGTTGCAGCATTAGCTGAAGAGGGTCAGAACTGGTTGACTGATCTGCTCTGACATCTTGGCAGGTAGTTCAGCCTCTGCGCTCCAGTGAGTGAGAACACACTCCCTATTATTGGTGTTGTTGTGGAAATAGGCTTGTGAGGCGTTTTTGTACCTCGGAATGGTAATGATGGAGCCTATAAATACCCAAGAACATTACATTATTATAACACTTCTGAGGGTGTTTTCAGCATAAGGCTTTCCCAGTTCTGTCTTCATTTGCAGTCTTATATTAATCTTAAAAATACAGTGTGCAACAGAGAGACATTTTCCTTCCCTTATTATTTCACTTATACACAAACAGAGGCAGGGGATCACTAAGAACTTAACCTTAAGTGTCTTACCCAGAGCCCCACAGCACATCAGTAACAGAGCTAAGAAGCTCAGTGTGGCAAGCACTGAGCCATCAATACAGCCTTAGTTCTTGTTGAAATGGTTTCTTCTTCCTGAGGATGTGACGTAATACTGAAAATCCCGTCATGGCAAGCGTTCCTTGTAGTCCTGTTTCATGTTACTTCCAGTGGGAACAGATCATGCCCTGGTACGTGGATGTCAATCAGCTTCTGATTTGTCAGCACTGTGATGATATGCCCATGGCCTGCACTGTCTGGCTGGGGCTGAGTCTCTTCTGGCCTTGAGAAGGTGCAGAAGGGAACGCTCAGGTGATCCTGAGCTGAGGCTTCACCACGTTCTTGGATGAAACTCTTCATGCAGTTGGAGAGCCTTGGCAAGATGTGCCAACAGCTTTCTGCATTCTGGGAAATCAAAATTACAAGTCAGTGGCCCTGTGAGGCCAAGCTAATTCAAGCTCAGCAGCACAAGGCTTGTGAGATTTGGATGATGGGCTGAGCTCCAGCTTCCTCCATCCGTGACTGAAGGGTTCACATGAGGGTCGGCAGCAAGAAGCAGATTTCCAGGTTTGGAGATAAATAGTAGTCACTTTGCATGCCTTTGTACAGGCAGCAAGCTTCTCCCTGGTTGTCAGTTCTCTCCTTGTTAACATGGTTCGTTACCTGAAGTGAATTCAACAACCAGTACGTAAAATAGAGCTCAGAGCATAAATATTAGTTCAGAAGAGGCAGGAGGAAATTTTCCATGTGGACAGATAATTCCACAATGGCTTAATGAAAAGTTTCCTTACTTTTATTTTAAGTTCTTGGAGATAACCCAAGTCAGAAATGAGGTAGAGGACTAGAGAGAGTTGTTCTGATGTGGCAGTTGCTATTTTAAGTTGATCCTAAGGCTGTACTGGTCAGAAAAAGGACTGAAAAATTCTTGTGGCCACCCAAGACCTTTGTATGTTGTGTTCTTCTTCCCGTAGTGCAGAAAGGGCCATTCTCAGCAACTTTGATCAGTGTTCTTGATCGCCTTATTCCTGTTAAGCACTTGCTAGAAGCTGTCAGGAGGTGGATGATGAGTTAATAACAGTGGAGTTTGCATGGCAGGGGCAAGGCAGCCACTGGGACTGAGTGAGCCCAACCCTGGAAGCAGTTGCTGTGCTCATTTCAGTGCTCAGGGCTGCTGATCTCCTTGCCCTGAACATTTTCTGCCTTTGTTGGCTCTGGGAACATGACCACATCTGAGCTCACAGCTTAATAAAGAAAAAGTTGCGGAGTTATCTCAACTTTTCAGGCATCATCTTGCCTCAAAACCTTCCACAGCCAACGGAAAAAGAGTGGCATCTTAGGAAGTCCACTCATTCCCTCCTAAGATAGGAGGAGGACTAGATAATAGCTGGAGGTCCCTTCCAGCTGAAATTATTCTATTCTATTCAATTCTGTTCTGTTCTATAGGTTTACACACTATGCATGTTTACTTTCTTGTAATTACAAACTGCAGCAATCTTGTTGACATTTGGTGGTGAGCAATGGGTAACTCCCTGCCCTAATGTGGCCAGCTATTGAGCTGGCTGGCTGTTTTTTCTTACAGGAGTAATGTTGATGCTTTGAAGAGGTGCCTCACGACAGGGGCGTTGAATGCAGCTTATTATTCTGGACAATAAAACCTGAATGTGTTTTCCTGCTAGTATTTTCTTCTAGCTTCTCATGACAGCCCTTTTAAGCCATGTCCTCACTGTGTCTTGGTCCAAAGCTCCTTGCAGATTTGTAAAGGCCCCTCCTTGCTTCCTTTAGATGCTAGAGGATGGTCTTTAGCCTTTGAGCTTTTCAGGTTATTATGCAGGCATTTCTGAATGTTTCTTATTGTATGTGGTAAAACAGTGACTCCATACATCTTTTGTTTAAGGGAAAAATGTGCATAGCAAAGCAGAGAAAAACCCAAACAACAGGAAGCGATGCCAGAATTGTACCCACTTAAGAATGTAAAAAGTGCAGCAATCTGTGCCAGATTGCTTCTATTCTTGTAAAATAATACAACTTTGCTGTGGAGGCCTGTTTCCTGACACAGCGAAAGGTCTTTTCCTTCTGTGAGCTTTAGAGAAGCGTTAGACCATTGCTAACTCCCGTGTCCACCTCCAGTCCAAGATTCATGCTGCAAGAAGCCTGAGTGAGATTGCGATTGACCTGACCGAAACTGGAACGCTCAAGACCTCGAAGCTGGCCAACATGGGGAGCAAAGGCAAAATTATCAGCGGCAGCAGCGGGAGTCTTCTGTCATCAGGTAGGTCCTTTATCCTGTAACTAGAGGGAATGTGATGGGAAGGCCACGGCCATGGTGCAGTGGGGAGCAGCCAGAAGCTGCGCTGCAGAAATGAAAGTCACTTCCCTTCAGCCTTTCTGTCTGTCCAGGTGTCTGTCCATCTCTCAGCATGTTGCTCCACAAACAGCATAGGCAGCAGCCTCCCCCCGTCTCTTTGCCACCACTTGTTTCCTCCAGGATGTCATCTCCAACCTCTCAATTTCTAGCTGAAACCTGGTGTCTCTTCGCAGTTTCTACCCTGACCATCCCTTGGCACCCAGCTCATCCCAAGGCAGATGGGTTTGTGAAGGAGTGCCCAGCCAGCAGTGGCGAAGCAGTCAGCCAGTGCAGCTCACGAGGGAAACTGAGGCTGGGAACTGGTGGTGTCCCTCAGCAGGGTGTGTTCTTCACAGAGTGCACATCTGCTTTGCCTCTTTTGCTGAAATTTGGCTGAAATTTGTTCCAGGCCCAACAGAGCTATTCCCTAGCACTCTCTACCAACCAGTAGAGAGTAGAGGGTAGAGGTTTCTCTCCGTGGCTTAGAGCACCTTCCTGTGTGAGGAATAAACTGTGAAAGAAACCCAAGGGAAGGTGATACAGAGGAGAGCTAGAGCAGGAGGATAGAAGGATTGGAGAAGGGTAGTCAGGAGGTTTCCTGGGTCTCTTTGATCCTCTGCTGTCAGTCTGAACCGGGCAAGCTGTGTGTAAAACAGTGATAAACGTCACTGCAGGCACAAAGCAGGGGTTGATAGTTTGCAAAGAGCTTGAAGTTGCTTAGGTGAGAAGGTCTTCAGGAGAGTAAGGTTGCTGGTATCACCGTAATTAACAGTTTCAGTCAATTAATCTTCTGTTAAACATCACATCAAGTTATCAAAACCAAATATGTTGAGATGTGTAACACTAGAGAAGACCCTTCTCATGCTTGGACAAGGGGAGAGCCCATATAAGAATGCAAATGCTTTAAACCTGAGCCCACATTGGTGTACTAAAATAAGCTTTTTATCACTATATCCTTCATGTCTCTTACAAGCTGCACTTTCCTGCTTGGAAAATGTTCAGCAAGGGGTTAAAATGTGTGGTACTTACAGAGCTCCAGAGCTGCCTGCTGTGCAATTCCTTGCCTTGCCTGCAAACAGAGTTGCCTTTCTGCTCCTGAGGTCTTCCTGACAAAGTATACAATCCACTGTCTGTGCCTCCCATCGCTTAGGGAGTTGCAGTAGCTCAGCAGCTCCCAGACTGGTGTCGGGTTGTTGGAACTCATTGTTTGTTTGGCATTTTTTCCAGCTCTCCTGCTGGAAAGTAAATAACGTTAAGTACCCCAAGAAAGTTCTTAAGGTCTTTCCAAGATCCCAGCCTCCTGGGCACCATTCCCAAGTTTGTGAGAGCTACTTGGTAGTAATCCTGTTTCCATGTTCATACACTGACTTTTTGTGTTCCTGGAAAAAAACACGAGGGGCTGCTTCTGCTCTTACACCTGGAGAGAGCAGTAGCCAGGTGAAAGCCAGCAGAAAATCAGGCCCAGAAAACCCGCTGTAGGGCCAGCGCCTAGCAAAGTTATGTGGTTGGAAATTCCAAACTTGGAGCTGCCCATGCTTTTATTTCTATATTTTTGTGCTCCCTGCTCAAATCCTTTCTAGCTGAGCAGAGGATTTGTAAACTCAGCAGAGCTACAGTAGTGACTAGACCCATGCAAAATTCATTGACCAGATGAGTCTTTTCTTCAGTCCTGGGTGGGTGGATCTCTCTACCTGGATGCCTGAGTAGGACTGTGTGAGCCCCTGTTTCTGTCGAGGTGCTGCTGGTGTGCCAGACCAGCACAGCTCCCTTTGGATTCCTGTCTTCAGAGTTGCCTTTTTTGTCCTACCAGCACTGAGGACAGAGTTTTCCACAAAATGTTAAGGAGAGCTGTGGGGTTTGCTGCTGCTGTGTGCCTTCCAGAACCTACTAGCAGCTACAAGGAAGTATTGAGAGAAGACATCTGGAAGAGGAGAGATACTGGGGAATTGGAAATGCTGGATTGCTTCCACACAGTCACTCATACCCCTCTCCTCCAAGAGCCCCTTCCCTCCAGCCTGACTGGCAGAGGTGACCCATCCCTGGACAGGAGGGGGCATTCAGTGCCTGTCCCGCTGGCACAGTCACTGGCTCTGTCCCAGCCTTTGTGTTTCCTCCCATTGTGCCAAAGATTATCGGCACACAACCACAACAATGATGGGTTATCGCAGTACAGCCTGCACACTGGAGAGAATAAGTGCAAATGATTAAGTGGCCACAGTAGATTTCCAGGCTATAAATACCTCAAGTGACTCGAAATCACAAGGGCAGGTCTGAGTCTCTGTGTGCCCCCACTTCCCTACTGTTCTCAGTCCTTTTTTTTCCTGAAAGTTACTTGTAGTCATTTCCTCCCTCCATCCCACTCCTCCTCACCAGAGGGGCTGTCAGCACCACGAGGAACATGCGAAAACTGGCATGTCTCCCCTGGGTTTGCAGCAAGTCTGCAAGGAAAAGTTTGTTGTTGCTTCCAGCTGTCACACTGTCTGGCAAAGATCCTGCCCCACATCACTTACAGTCTCAAGACACAGCCAAGGGGAGATGGAATCTTACACTGGGAAGTGGCTTTCTCATGATCACAGAAATTCAGGGCCAAAGCCTCCGCTTCTCCATGTTTCCCAGGTCCTTGATCTCAGTCTGTCCACTGCAGAGTTGTAATTTTGATACCTGATGCTCACAAGTTCATTTTCTGACAAACTGAATTTGTAACTTTTGTCCTCATTTTGGATCTGAAAGGGCCTCCTTAGAACAGTGGGCTGCTGTGATTTAGCTCAGGGGTCTTCTGCTCAGGATCTGTGGGCCATCCCTGGACATCTTTGATAAGATTTGTCTGTCACTAAAAGCTTTTACACTGGCAGAAACCCTAATCAAAGCCAGCAGAACAAAATGAAGTTAGGTCTAAGGTGGATTTTTCGTTCAGAGCAGTCTGTGCCATAAGAGTTCTGCAGGGCTCTGAGCTAGTGAGGAGTCCTGTAACCACTGGCTTACTTTTGGACTGAACTCCGGACCGCCTTCTCCATCTCCATGGGTGGAGGAGACACCACAGAGGGCCACCTCTGCTTTAACTCTGCAGACACATTCGAGGAGCCTCCAGTCCCTGAGCCCCGTTCCTCCAGCAGCAGTGGAGGTTTCCTGTGCAGGGGCCTGTTTATGTTTGAAAATGCCGCGACAGAGCCCAGCCAGCCTTCCCAGGCCCCCACCGCTCCATCCGGCAGGGCCGTGTCCCAGCTGGACCGCCCTGGCGGGTGTCAGAGCGGACAAACAGCACCCACATGGTCCCCATCACAGCCCGCAAGTCACCCGCAGGGTATCTGAGCACATCCCGTGCGGAGCAGCTCCAGCTGGGCTCCCGCGCGCCCCAGAGGATATCCTAAGTGTCGGGCAGAGGCAGGAGAACAGGAGATATCGGCCCTCTGAGGCTGTGGGCTGTTGTGCACTGACATCCTGGCACGGTGAGTCAGCCCGAGCTCTGGCACGGAGCAGGCGTGGGGGGAACTTCCCTCCCCCGCTCGGGGGACAGCCTTCCATAGGGACCTCAAACAAACGCCAGTGAGCCGGAGCCAGCAGCCGGATGTAGCATGGAGGGTTTGCCATATTTAGATGTGTTTTTCCTGGAACAGGAGACTCCCAGAATGAGAAAGAGAAGAGATGCCTGGATGCTTTTGCCTTGCTGCTCCTCGGTCACCTTGTTGCATCTCCCCTCCCCTCACAGTTACTATCACCAAGACTTGGCTCCCTCTGCTCTTGACATCCCCTCTGTCCTCCCTGCTTGTTTTCAGCCTTCTTATTTATCCCTTTTCCAAGCTGACTCCACTCTGCTACAGTACCTGGAGGCAATAGGGACAAACAATGAATCACTGATAGGACTTTCTTCTGCAAAGTGGTGACTTGTATTGCTGGTCTCATCCCTTTGACAGGCTTTATGTCAAAGCTTGTCTTGGAGCCAACACCTGGCAGCCACGACCCTGGCAGACCTGCACTGCACAGCACAGCACGTGGTCAGATCCTTTGAATAGTCACTGGATGTCCCCATCAGCATCACCCAGACTGTCCTGACCTCACCAGTGTTGGAGCAGTCAGACATCTGTTAGTGCTGATGAGGTTCAGCCATGAATTCTGCTGGAGAAGTGAGTTGGATAGGGAGGACCATGTTTCCCCTTGTTTCACAGCTCGTGTTCTCCTGAAACGTCAGCGGATGAAGAAATTGCCCAGAGAAGCCAAGTGGGTGTCAGATGATGAGTGGTGTTTCCACAAACTAGTAGGGTATTAAGTGGACATTTAGGTCACCAAGACCTGTGTTCCATCCTGTATGCTAAAGAAGAAAGGGCACATACACATAAAAACAGCCCCAAGTGTGTTTTCACAACCCTTTTAGGGACGTCAAATGTGTGTTAAAATGCAGAGTTTGGTAAATCTTTGTACAGCAAATGGGATGAAGTCTGAATAATAATTTTCACAGAAAGGGTTCAAATGTTGTACGAAAATTACCTATTTCAGCAACATTTCTCCTGTTTAGTGCATTAAACAATCGTAGGAAATAAAATACCTGAGAAAGCCTCCCAGTTAACCATTTCTGTTGCAGCAGGAGTCCCTTGTTTTAGGACTGATCTTTCAGGACTGATTTTTCTTTGTTGATGATCCCCTTTGGAAGGACTGGCCATCCATAACTCAGTGAGCATCATATTTAATAAGGTTGATTTAAGGTAGTATCTGCTTGATTGATTTGGTTTGTGCTGGTCTTTGATTATTTCTTTGGTTGCTTTTATGGACTTTTGATTTGTCCTGACAGTTTTGGGTCAGTTGCCGCCAGATTTAGAAGTGGGTCTGGGGTCACAGCCTTGCCCAGGGCTGGATTAATACATATTTATAAATAAAGAGCCTCTAATGGAAGCTGTAGGCACCCCAGCAATACAGAGCACTGTTCTCTGCTCATTTACAAGCATCTCACATGGGTGTAATTCTCTTGGCTGATCAAGTTTCCATTTGCTTTTTACCTGTGAGAACAAGCAGAGAATCCAACCCATAAAAATCTAATAATACACCACAAAATAGTTCAGCTTTTAAACAAAACAAACAAACAGTAGTGCCAAGGAGTGGTTGAATTTGGTTTCAGCAGTAATCTCACTGCTTCACTCAGGATGCAGCAGTGCAGTTCCAGATCTCCCCCAGTTCCTTCGCTTTCTGGCAGGGGTGAAAAAGATGGCAAAATGTGCACTCAGTGGGCACTGCCACCGATGGCATCAGGGATGAGACCAGCGTGGTTCTCACGCAGGGTAAGCACAGCTGGAGCAGATGCTGTGAACTGTCTGTGCTTGACTTGGGTCTGTACCAGCTCAGCCAGAAGCTGCTCGTTTCCTTCTTGCCTGCACGTCCCAAAGCAGCACAGGCACCTGGCCAGGCTTTAGGCTGTTCATATGCTTTTAAATGTTTGTGTGTAGCTGCTGTGGCAACCCACAGTGCAAAAACGAATAGCTTTTAAAAATAAATCTGAGGCTGGTGTGGAGGTGTGGAGCAGAGAGAGGAAGGAGAGGGGAAGAGCACTTGAAAGGAAAACGTAGGTCATTAAAGTTGTCATAAAAGGGGAAAAAAAAAAAGGTTTGAAACATCTGGTGGAATCATGAGCAACTTTTTACCAGGACTCTGCAGTTTGTTGACATGTCCATGAAGAAATTCAGCAGTTCAGTTTTGCTAGTAACTGCTCACCAGGGTTACTGTTAAGAATTACTAAATGCTGGTGAGGGCTTTCCTTGCCAGTGCAAACACAGAGCTCTGCTGAAAGATCCCATCAAGTTCTTGCAGCACAGATGTGTGTGCAGAATTGAGTGTTATTGCTCTATGAGGGCAAACCCAGCTAAAGCGAGGATGACTACAGCAACTAAACAAGCATCTTAGCATGAGGTTCTCCTCCTTTGTCTGGTAATGCTCAACCTGGCTGACCTTTAGAGAGACCTTTTCCACTGCCCCCACCTCGGTGCAGCCCAATAAAAGGTGTAAGAAAGCAGGTTGGTGTTTCATAGAATAAGAGCCAGCTGTCTTCCTCTATGAAAACTGCAGAAAATATTGGTGGAAAAGATCTGTGAGATTCTCTGCTCCCCCTGGGCCAATGCAGAACTGTTTTGTGGCATTTTTTGCCTCAATCCTCTTTCAGTTTAGCTTTAATGGTCTGCTGAAATAGTAGCAATGAAAGATGAAGCTGAAAGCACAAATTTCACTGTTTTGCTGCCAAAACAAAGAATTGTTCCCAGGTTCCTTCCAAAGCTCTGTGAAATAACAGCTTTTCCGACCTGCTTGGGCTGAGTGTTTTCACTGAACGCTTGGCAGCCAAGCTGCAAATGTATCTAGGAGCCCCCTCTCACTCCCCCCTGACAGGTGCACAGAAAATTCCACGTAGCATCCTGTTGTATCTGATTCCTGCAGATAATAAAGGTCTGCTTTCTCTGTGCCATTGCTAGAGAGGGGCAGGAAAGCCCCCCAGAGTCACCCTGGAACAGCATGTGCTGAGTCCACTGAGGACTAGGAGAAATCCCTTTGAAAGCATTGACAAGTCAAAGGCTTTTCTGCAGTCATAACCCTACAGAATCCCACAAGAAGTGTCTGCAAAGCACCAAGAACAATCCAGCTGCCTTCACATAGGTGTCCAGCACCGTTTTAGGTGGGTTAGAGGATCCCACTGCCAGTCCAAGAGCGTGGGGTCACACAGGGTCCTGTATCATACCTGCAAAGGGAGCAATGGTACAAGTTCCTTCCCAGTTTGGGTTGGTCCCTTGGGTTGGAAGGGACCTTGAAAGATCATCTAGTCCAACCCTTGTATTAATACATCATCAGCCAAAGGAGGGGTAAGGAGAATCTCCATCCTTTATTGGATGTGGGGGGAAAGGATAAGGTTACTTAATCAATAAGTTCCCCCAAAGAGCTGAAATTAGAAATGTTGTCATGACATCTGAGCAACAGTCTGACTCAGTGCATGGACTTACTTCAGTGGAAGTTTCTGGGTAGTTGCCACTCGAAAAGTCAAACCATTTGGACATCCAGTTTAAATCTCTCGACCTACATCTTCACAAGAAACAGCTACAATCCCAGAAGGACCTGTGGTGGTTGTTGTTTTGGTGTGTTTTACAGCAATCTTGCTAGGTAATTTTGTTCCATTACAGTTTTTCATAGAACAGGCCCCATAAGTGGATTGAATTACATGTTTGCTACTAGGATAATTGCAGTTCTTAAGAAGTAGGCTGTATTGTCAAATGACTTCTCTTAGGCTTAATTTCCCAAAAATGCGTCTCCAGGGCTTTTTAAACTGTACTGTTACTTGCCATTGGGAACTTTCATGGGAATTGTATGTGTTTTTGTTCTAGGATCTTTAGATGAATAATTCTGATGCTTTTATTTTTCCGGATAATGATTACAAATGTCTCAATGTGCTTCACTGTCCAGTCTCTGACTGTTCACTTAAACATTAAGGATTTGCTGTAAACAATCATGACTGGGGAACACCTGCTTCGTGTCATAGTCCAATTTCTTTTTGGAAGGACTGCGTCCAGGCTTTGGTAAAATTACAAGCGCTCCAGATGTGTGTTCTGTTGTCAGCTGGCCTAGTGAAATCATTGTTTATCGACAGGTTCCCAAGAGTCAGATAGTTCTCAGTCTGCCAAGAAAGACATGCTGGCTGCACTGAAATCCAGGCAAGAAGCTTTGGAAGAGACCCTGCGCCAACGCTTGGAAGAGCTAAAGAAACTGTGCCTGCGAGAAGCGGTAGGCAATGGACATTTTATAACCTGTAACACTTCACTGTTTGCATTGTTATAGCGTGCTTCTTGTTTGGAGGTGGCGTGGGGTCAGGAGAAGAGATTCCTCCCACAGTCACCTCAGGAAAAGTCCAGCTGCTTCAACTCCATATGGCATTGTCCAGGACATTTCCCCCCCCAGAAAAAGGGACCCCACATCAGCTGGGTACCCAGTTGGCCTGGGGCTAGGAAGGTGCTCAATATCCACGTCTCCTGTTTGAAATTGTTCAGCCAGGCTTCTTGTTAATTTTGGTGGGAATGTGGTGTTACCTAAATGGCAGGTTAGGAAGGCTGTTTTGTGTACTAGTCATCACTTCTCAAAAACTTGACTCCATTTGTGGAAAAAAAACAAAACAAAACACACACACACACAAACCCAAAAACAAACAAACAAACAAAAAAACCAAGCAGACTGACACACTTTCTCGTTGGAGCAGGCCTGACTCTACATGCTTTTCCTCTCCAAGCAGACTGCTTCATACAGCACACAAGGTCTCATCTGCACCCTGTAGATTCCCTTTATCCAATAAGCTCTGGCAGTGTGGTGGTAGACCTTGCAGAGGAACCACTGTAGTCATCCCAGGACATACAGGACATCTCAGGAACTCATAACCTTCCCACTCACTTGCCAGTTCATTTTTGGAGCACACAGGCAGCCATTCAGAGATCCATTTAATGATTTGAGGAAATCACAACCCTGCTGCAGCTGTGTGTGTAGATTAGCAGCAGTGTACTCTTGGGTCATTCAGCAATCTTCCTATGTTTACCAGGCCTGAGTATCTGAATTTAACAACAAATCGTGATGTGTAACACAACAGGAAGCTGGCTGCAGACAGTGGCACGGAGATCTTCCAGTTCTTGCTTAATATTTGATGTGTATCTCGCCTTTGACAAAAATGGGGGAAAAAGGTCACTGATTCAGCTCTCACTGCACTTTGTTTCAATTAGTCTATACTCTTAATGCCAAAAAGAGTAAGTTGTGGAAAATACCTCTCAACCAGGAATGTCAGAGGAAGTCTCTGCTACCCCAGTTCACACCCTTTACTCCACATGAGCCATCCTTTCCCATCTGGAAAGCCCTGGTTGACTTCAGCAAACAACTTGGGCTGATAAAGGTTGCAGGACCAGATGCAGTCTGTAAGTCCACTGAGCTGAGGTCATCTGCAGGAAGCAGTCACAGCTCTTCGGGGGCTGAGGGTCAAGGTCTGGAGGGCTCTACTTCTCTCTGAGGAATTTACTACCCTAAGCTAATGCTCCCTGACAGCCGGTGACTCATCTTTGCAGCAGCACCAGATGCAGGGGAAGATGTGCCTGTGCCACAGTTGCAGGAGCTCACAGCCCAGTGCCTTCTCTTTAACCCCAGTCCTGTCTTCAGTGCAGCCTCAGACATTTGGCAGGCTGCTGGGATGCAGGCAAAAGCCCCACTGAGGCATGGAGCTGGGGATAAAGAGCAATATCTCCTTAATGTGCTGCAGCAAGGCTGGCCAGAGCCCATCTGTCAGCACCTTAAGAGCTGGTAGAAAGTGTTCATGCTTTCCGTAGGTGATATGAGAGACGCAGTTGATGGACACTTGGAATCTGACACCGCCTTGCAACCCTACAGCTCATCCATCAGCAGCCGGTAGTTGAAAGTATTTCCTCTCAGGCTGCCCTTCATCCTTTCTGCTTTGGCATGAGAATGGCCAAAACACAGGGAGAAGGCAGCCAACGAGGAGATAAAAAAGGGTTAAAAGTGGGGAGATAATCAAATAAGCATGGCCAGAGCCATTCATAACACTGGCATCAGGTTACTTTGGGCCATCGCTGCTCCAGTTACTTATTAATTTAGATTATGTTTCACAACCATGCCTGTGAATGCTTTTTAGCTTATGGAGGCAGCATGGTAGCCCACATTAATTTTGTCCTGCTCTGATCTTGGGCATTCTACAGAAGATATCAACTCTTTCCCCACTGCCCTGCTTCATATTACCTTAGAAGTTATAAAGAAAGTATCCATGTTACCCTCAGGATAGAATACAGTAATAATATGTGTCTTGGTGCAGTGCTTAGAGCCAAATCTCAGTAGAAGGAACACATTTTGAAAGAAAAGCTGAAATAACCCCACAGGGCTGGAGGGGCAATGCAAAAAAGGACTCTGAGGCATTGCAGCAGTGCCTCCTGCAACACAGGGCTGTGCACATCGACACAGAGCAGTGCTGCAAACCCATTTTGCTGGGAATTGCTTAAAGGGAGTTTTTGAAAAGGCCAGGTCCTCATTTCCTAGTGACCTGAAAAGAGTAGAAAGAAAAACCCCATTAGGGAGCCGGGGAGAGGCCAGGGCAGGCAGGGACTGGGGCTGTGCACCCACACACACATTGAGGTCAGCTGCTGTTCTTTGGGATTCAGATGATTTAGGTTACTCTGCCAGCTGGATCCTCTCAAGGCTTGATGGTAAGGAACACAAAAGCCTTTTGTCCTTCATGGGGAGACTTTTGAGTACAAGGAGTCGGGCTGTGCTGGTAGTCAGGCTCCTGCCTATTTCTGTAGGCATTTGAATGCCTTCAGTTGGGATCTGAGTGGCTGTATTGTGTAGTCCAGGAGAAAAATCCTACAGCATTACCATCGGTAGTGTCATTCGCTGCTTCCTGTGTTCCAGATATTCCTCAGTTCTGTGGGGTTTGCTTCAGATTTTGAACAAGCCTTTGCAAATAACCCCAACAGTCTGACAGTGCATCAGCTAATAATTGCTCCAAAACTGCCCGTGACATCACTGGGGTTTGGAAGGGGCTCTGATACATGAAGTGTTATCAGACAGGTAATGAGGTACCAGGCACTGCTTTTTGTGGCCGTTTTCGCTGCATTCCTCTCAGACACATCATGAATCAGGTGGGAATGTTTTTCTGTGCGGGTCATAACCTGCACAGCTGCTACCAGTGTGGCTTTCTGACTCAGCAGACCTGCATCCTGCAGGAAGGCCCTCTGATCTGCTCACCCCCTCAGAATTAGCTCTGCAGATAGGAGCTCTTGGTTCCTGCTCTCCCTGCAGCAGAGATGAAGGCTTTGTGTGCTGCAGCCGGCTCAGCCTCAGGCCCTGACGCCCTAGGGATGGGCACCACTTACAGACCTGCCCAGGGCAGGCCACAAAGGTCTGTATTCATGCACAGGTTAAAGAAAAGGTCCCCACCCTTAGAGGCAGGTTCTGAGTTTGCAGGGCTGGGCGCTCTCCTATGTGTTTATCAGCTGGCTCAACTGGGTATGTTGTTAATGAATGCCTGTCATTTTAGGGTCACACAAGAGCAGTGTTGTGCATTGCTCTGCTGCAGGGTTTCCCAGAGCACTAACAGCATTTTCTGCTTACAGGAGCTCACAGGAAAGCTGCCACGAGAATACCCCCTGGATCCCGGGGAGGAGCCGCCTATTGTGAGGAGAAGAATAGGAACTGCCTTTAAACTGGATGAGCAGAAAATCCTGCCTAAGGGAGAGGTGAGACTGTGCCTTTCCCTTCCAGACCCATGTCCCCACCTCAGGTCTCTAGGATGTCCACTGTGCATCACACAAGAGCCATCAGTCCCTAAGGTCATTTTTGCTTTAAATTACTATAATTGGCCTTTAATTTATATCCATCAGAACGAGGAAGCAGCAAGAGAGTTGGTGGCTTTCCTTCAGACTCAGAGTAAAGGTGAAACCCTCGAGGTTTACCCTGGCTTTGCTAGAGGTAACAGAAATAGCCTGGGTGACCAACTGGACCATGGCAGTGCAGGTGCTCTGGTGACCAAGTGCAGTGATTTGTGTGATAAGGGAGCACACCAGGAGCGCCCTGAGCCATCTGAGCAATGCTTTTGCCTGTGTTATTGCAAACAGCCACTTGCTTTCCACTTCAGTAGCAATCCAAATTCAGGACTGCTAACCGGGGAGAAAAGCATCACCGTTATCCATCTTAGCCTTGCCACAGCGAGATAAAAGCGTTTTGCTCCCCAGTCCTTAAACAAAAGAGCCTTCATCCCTACCTATGGGGAGCTGGAGTTACATTTTTCTAAGTTTGCCAGGGAGTGTTTGTTCCCTTGCCTTGCTCCCACAGTGTGCTGGGTCAGTGCCCTGAACCGTGGCTGTGAAAACAGGCCTGCAGCAGCTGTGAGGCGGGACCGGATTCACAGAACAGCCATTGTCTGCGAGGCGCATTTGCAAGGCACTTGTGTATATCCCAGTCTTGAGTTTCCTTTTTATTTTTGTAGGAGGAGGGACTGAAGCTGGTGTGACCGTGTGGTTTAAGGCTCGGTTCAGCCAGGGAATTAACTGTTTGTCGTTTTGTTGGCGTTTTCCTTCTGCTGGAAAAAAATAAACAGCTGGAGCTCTTTAGTTTTGTTCTCAATGGAGCCTGGGAGAGGAATTCCAGCGAAGTCAAATATTCATGAACTGGCACATTTAATTAAGCTTTTCAAAGGGAGGCATGGCTTAGCTGAATTACTCCTAAAACCCCTGCAGTCTGCTGGCTGCTCAGCTATAACCTGATCTCTGGCTTCTCCAGGTCTTATTGCTGCAAGGCAGCTTTTGGGACCATGCGGGTGAGGAATCTCCTTACTCCAGTGGCAGGGTTAGGTGGGGAAAGCAGGAAGGTAAAGCAGCTCCTCCTCGCTGCAGGCACTCTGCCTTTTGGCACCAGCAATCCAAACACGCTGACTCAGCTCTTCTCTACCTCCTCTCTCGCCTGTCAAACTTTAGGACTGTGTTGAAAACCATAAATTTCTGTTCTTGAAGAATGATGTTGAGCTGTGTTTGGCTGCCAGTTTGAGAGCATTTAGAGAGGCCAGTGATGATTTTCACGTGTTTCTCAGCAAGTGCAAACACTGGAAAATCAATTTCAAGCAAAGGTGAAATAATACCTCAGCCACGTAAATCCAGGACTGAAATTACCAACTGTGACAAGGACCTGAAGCAAGGCACTTCCATCTGAAGCCAGATGATAGCTCTCATTTCCTAAGGCTTTATTTATAGTGTACCTCACTGGAAGAAAATAGACAATTATGGCCATGAGGAAAATTAATATGTTTTTCCTGCAATATACTGAATGATTTAGAACTGAATCTGTGAAGGTCTGAAATGATAGCTCACATCAAACTCACCATACCTTCAGCAAGACCTTTGTCAGTGCAAGACTTGCAGGGAAGGATCCTGTTGTTTTTCTTGGTAATCACCTTTACCTGGTCTGTAATTCCTGACTGTGGGAAGGATTTTACCAGAGGATGATGAATCAGGTTGCAGGCCTTAAAACTCCATGGTGTTAAGTTCACTTTTAATAAGTCTGGTACTGATGGAGCTTATAAACTCTTCAAAGCAAAAAGGGATCTGTTAAAAAGGTAGGGGGTGGGTTCAGTCTTCAGTGAAGTGAGGGAAATGATAATTATAGTTTTAAGGCAATGCTGACTCACTGCTGATAGCAAAAGGATTTTTTCTAAGCCAGAAGCCCAGAATAAAAACTTCAGAGAATGTCTTCAGTCTGAATAAATCCCACAGCATCAGCTCTTACAGCACATGCTACTTGCTAAACAAAGAGAGGATTTGAATTTGCGTAATGGGGATCTCCATGAATATATGACTGTCCCACTGTTCATTAAAAGTAAAAAAGCTTGTCATTTTTTCCCTAATTTTCAATGTGCTGTGTTTCCTTTTCTATCAGACTTATTCTATCCAGCTGGGGAAGGGAGCCAGATCCGTTTCAGATTAGCAAGTACCTTTGAAACTCACAGCTTGGAGTCCCAGTGCAGGCTGGGAAGCTCAATATCAGCTTATGCACTGGCATAAATTGGCCTAAATCCCTTGACTTTGGAGGATAACCAAAAGTTGTAGGTAGCTTCCAGGGTACACCTACTTGCATCTAAAAACTCAGCTGAGACCCTGCAAGGGCAAACATTGGAGACACTGGTCCTTTTTGGCATACAGAGAGCTTGCTGTTACACACTGCTGGCTCTGAGATCACCCTCCTGGCTTGTAACGTGAGGAGACAATTTTCTGGTGCAATCAGTTGCAGCAGCCCGTAACTACATCAGCTCATACTCACCTCTGGATTTTGACAGCCGTATGTTAATATAATAATAAGGGGATGAGTTAGCCCATCTTTGCCCTTTCTACCCCGAAGTGTTTGGTGGGTGCCAAGCAAACCTGTCAGGAAGTTTAAAGCTGTAGCTTTGGATCATTATGCAGCACTGATATCAAATGGGACTCAAATATGGAGATAGGAGACAGGGGGAAGGAGGAGGTGGGAGGCAGGTGTTACCCATAGATGGGTGTACAGAGATGAATGTGTCAGCAGTAGGGCACAGTTGAACTTGGCCATACTGAACTGCATGAAAAGCCAAAGAGCACGGCAGGCTTTAGGGCTGGAGCACACGTGTCCTCCTTGTATGGGTCATCCCTTCCACCAGCTGTGCTTCCAGGCACTCATGTGAGCAGGTGAAGCTGTGCTCAGGGAGGCCCTGAGATGAGGGGAGCAGCATGGCTGTGGATGCTTTGCTGATGGAGAGCCTTGATTGGAGGCCACCAGTCAGGTTCAGGAGAGCTTCCCCATAGATGGGCTGGAAGAGTTTGGTGGTAACCAGAATCCTCTTGCCTTTCCCCCAGGAGGCAGAGCTGGAGCGACTGGAGAGGGAATTTGCCATCCAGTCCCAGATCACAGAGGCTGCCCGGCGCCTGGCGAGCGACCCGAACGTCAGCAAGAAGCTGAAGAAGCAGAGGAAGACATCCTATCTGAATGCACTGAAGAAGCTGCAGGAGATCGAGAATGCCATCAACGAGTATCGCATCAAATCAGGAAAGAAGCCAACCCAGAGGGCCTCCCTGATCATAGATGGTAAGTGGGACTCGGTGCCCATGGCATCACGGGGGGTCTGCAGAGCGCAGGGAGCAAAATTCTTGCCCTGAGGCACAGATTTCTGCTCCCTCCTGTTCCCTCTTCTGTCTGGAGGGCTCCAGGGGTGTGTGCCATGCATTAGGGCTGTGCTGGGTCATGGCACAAGAAGCAGGGTCGCGCCGTGGGTGACAAACGTGTCAGGAGAGCAGAATGTGGCTCCTTTGTTCACCTATAAAATCGCTCTGTTAACGTCTCCTCCGGAGCGGTTCTGCACAAATGTAATTAATGTTAGCAGATTGGGGTGAGCTCTCTAGCTGAAAGGCATCTGCGAAATCAAAGTGGGAGCAGTGTCATTGCTGTGTTCAAATACTTCTTTTCTTTTTCTTTTTCTTTTTTTTTTTTTTTTACAGTGTAACTCTCAGGGCACTTTATGGTTTACTGGGTTGTTGATTGGTTTTTCATGAAATCCATTAACTTTCTGCTGTGTTTCTTTCTCCCTTGCGGATTTTGCCCTTTCCCTTTGACTTACAAAGCTTTTCTCTGTGCCTTTGTGGCAGGAACTGAGATTAGAGCTGCTGCATTTGTGACCTGGGTACCAAATTGCACTGCAGTCAGGGATAAGAGAGAGCCATGAGGACGTGGGATGGGGGAGGCAGCTCAGATGTCTGCACAGCAAGGACCTGAGAGCTTCTCTTGCTGCTGCAGAGGATGCTCAGAAAGCCTTTCCCTGAGTTCCACAGAACTGGTACTTAGTGTGAGCCATTAATTAGCAACAGGATAATCATTTTAAGAAGGTGGATATCAAACCCAGAGTCCTTCAGGCCCGAGATGTAAATCTCATAATGGCACCATGCCATTTTGCATCCTCTGGGGATCTTAGCTCTCTGTTGTGACTCAGTCTTAATCCCCATTAATTGAAAAGGGTTAGCAGCTCCTTGAAAGGCAGCCTGCTACTGAGAGACCTGGCTGCAGCTCTGCACTCCCAGACTGAGAGTGGGCTGAGTCAGTTGTTTACAGGAATTTTGCCTCTCGGCTCTGTGAGGAGGAAGATGTGGGTGACTGCTTAAGGCTAAGACTCAGTGGACAAAGATCACGGTGCAGTTCAGCACTCAGTCGCTGCGATTCTTGGGACCATCTGACCATCTTTATATTCTCTTCCTTTCAGAAGGAAACATTGCCAGTGAAGACAGCTCCCTCTCGGACGCCCTTGTTCTTGAGGATGGTATGTTGGCTACTGTATGTTCTAGAGAGCAGGGAGGGAGGTGTGAACTCCTGATTGGTACTCAAAATGGAATAACTGTTCTGTGTAATAACCCACTCACACATCCCAGTAGCAAAATCGCTTGGTTTCCCCTGACTCCCAGCTTGTAGTCAGACATCAGGCCTGGAGCAGTGAGTATTGCTGGGGTTAATGCTCTGAATTGTCTCAAAGGACAGTCCCAGAATGCCCCCTTATTTTCCTTTAAGGTTTCGATTACTTTAATGCATCACACACTCTTGCTGGCCATTCTCTCCCAAAATGGGAATGTCACCCAGTGCATTTCTGAAAGTCGGGTCTTCGGCTTGCTCCTGAACACAGCCAGGAGAGGCAGGGTAAGGAAATAGGCTCTGGAAATGCGATGGTGTCACACAGCCATCACCTCTCTCCCTTCTCCTCCTCACAGAGGATTCTCAGATCACCAGCACAATCTCCCCTCTCCAGTCCCCACACAAAGGACTCCCTCCCCGGCCGCCGTTGCACAACCGGCCCCCTCCTCCGCAGTCGCTGGAAGGGCTCCGCCAGATGCATTATCACCGCAACGACTATGACAAGTCCCCCATCAAGCCCAAGATGTGGAGTGAGTCATCCTTGGATGAGCCCTATGAGAAGGTCAAGAAACGCTCCTCGCACAGCCATTCCAGGTGAGACGGATACCTTGAAGCTCCATCACGGAGGTGTTCTCTGCTCTCAGGAGGGACGAGTGTGAGCCCTTCCAAAATTTACGAAGCTGTCCCTTACCCAATAGGCAAGACTTCAGGTGTTTTGGCCAATATGCAGGTCATAAAGATAGGCTGCAGCCACGTGATTGCTGCATGGTATCTCAGTGCAGTTCTACAAAACGTTTAAAAGGGACGGGTGGTGGATCATCTGAGGGCTTTGACAGGGATTGGCCTTGACCTCTGGCTGCTGTAGAAGCACAGGCTCTGGGGCGCAGCTCAGAGCAGCAGCTGACCCAACTCCCACTCACCCCCTCAAGATCCCGGGCACATGCCTGAGATCTGGAAAGACGCGTGGGAGTCGCTTCCCCAAATTCCTGACAGGAGCTGAAGTGGATGTTTCCTCTGCAGCAGTCACAAGCGGTTCCCCAGCACTGGGAGCTGTGCCGAGGCGGGAGGGAGCAGCTCTCTGCAGAACAGCCCCATCCGGAGCCTTCCCCACTGGAACTCCCAGTCCAGCATGCCGTCGACGCCAGATCTACGGGTACGCAGTCCGCACTACGTCCACTCCACACGGTAAGTCTTCCTGGCTCCAGTCTCCCTTGCTTACCCTGAAATAAATATTCCTTGCTTTATCCTTCCCCCAGGGTATCAATTAATTCCCAGTTCAGGACAGGACACAAACCAGTCCTGTTCACGTAAGAGGCTCACGTACTGTTGCCAGTAGGGAATCTCTCCTGAACTGAGATCCTGAAATCCCTTCAGATAAACACGATCCTGCCCCTCATCCCTCCCTCAAAGTGATCAAGCTTTTATTCTGCTGGGACCTTTCATCTTGGGGGCTGTTTATAGGCTCTACAAACCCCAAGCCACTTTTAAAACACATGTGGTGCTGCTACTGCTGAATTCTGCAGTAAATTCTTCCGTGGATCCAGCTGGAGAGAACATGTTGTTTCCTGTTTGATACAAAATGTTGGGTAGTGTTAATTTTCTCTCATGGATAAAATGTTTGCATGTGTGTGATGTCATGTGGAGAGTGAGAGGCTGTATAAAGCAATCCACCTGGGGATCCAGGTGGCAGTGGATTAGCCCAGGGCTGACAGAGGAAAAAGCTGAAGTGTGTAAGGGAAGCGATTTGATGTGTGTGGCCCAATTTGACTCCAGTTTTCAGCAGGATTTCTACAAACTGTTCAGCTTCATTGCTCTGTTGCTTTTGTGGCAAACTCCGTGGACACTGCAGGGAGCAGAGCTGAGCCAGAGCTGTGTGCTGCTTGGTGTCCTGCCCTAAGGGGAAGTACTATCATCATTTAGCTCAGCATAAATCAAGAGTTGTGCCAGTACATCAGCCTCAGGCAGAGAAAGTACAAGGCATTAAGACCCTGGGCTAAGTTTGTTACAAGTTATTGGCTGAGAGTACCTTTCAAGAGTACAAAGTCTGTTAAGTACTGGAGCCAAGCTGTGTGAGAAATGAGCCTTGCACAGGGCTTGAGAAGTGACCTTGACCAGGTAGGCGCCATTTGGGTGTCTGAAAAAGTCATTGCTCAGTCTGTGGCTCATTCATGAGCTGCACGCCCTGGCCTTGACCATCTGTCATGGGGATGTGTTCCTGTTCCTTGAACGGATGGGTGAAATTCTTCAAACAGTCGGGATGAATAGAGACCACCCAGACTTGGCCATGAATCAAGCCTTGTAAACTGTGATTTGGGGTGGTTGCCTGGAGTACTGTCACCCCTTGACAGTCCTACATGTGCCTATGGCTGGGCCCCAGTAAAACTGAGCTGCTTGACAAGAGGTGACTTTTTCAACAGCATTCTAGGCTAAGTGCAGGCAGTCTGTCTGTCTGTCTGTCTCCCACCAGGTGGATTGTACCTGTGCAGGGCATTCGTGGGCCCCTTGCAAGGAAATCTCACCACCTTTGGGGCCTGCAGAGGTGTTGGGATTTGCAGAGGTGACACAAGGTAAACCTGGTAGCACAGGGACGGTGCTGATCCAAGCAGCTCTGCCATGCAGCTGCACCAGCAAAACCAGGGCTTGAGGTCCCCAGGTGTCACCCTTCAGACTGGCCTTTCCCAGGGTGGCAAGCCACAGAGGAATGGGGCTGAGTAAGGGTTTATGTCCCTCACGGTGCTGCAGACTGAGTGTCACACCAGGGAACTGGCGAGGAACAAGAACAGGACCTAATCACCCCAAACCCTGCAGCAGGGAAGCAGATTGCATCGCAGGCAGCAGCCCTGGAGGGATCCAGGTTTTCACTGCCCTCAGACTCCTTTGCCTGTGTGTACAGGCAGGGATGGGCAGTGCTTTTTTCTGTTGACTTACCAGCCTGTTCTTTTTCCTGGTACCTACAGGTCAGTAGACATCAGCCCAACCAGACTGCACAGCTTAGCTCAGCACTTTAGGCACCGGAGCTCCAGTTTGGAGTCACAAGGAAAGCTCCTCGGCTCAGAAAATGAGACAGGGAGCCCCGATTTCTACACCCCAAGGACTCGTAGCAGTAACGGCTCTGACCCCATGGACGACTGCTCTTCCTGCACCAGCCATTCCAGCTCTGAGCACTACTACCCCGCTCAGATGAACCCCAACTACTCCACCCTGGCAGAGGATTCCCCGTCGAAAGCCAGAGAACGGCAGAGGCAAAGGCACAAATCAGCAGGCAACCTGGTCTCTTCCAATTCAGGGAGCATGCCCAACCTGGCTGCGAGGAACGGGACGGGACACCACCGTGTCTACCTGCACAGCCAGAGCCAGCCCTCCTCCCAGTACAGGATCAAAGAATACCCCTTGTACATTGAGGGCAGCTCCACGCCCGTGGTGGTGCGGAGCCTGGAGAACGACCAGGAGGGACATTACAGCGTGAAAGCACAATTCAAAACCTCCAACTCCTACACGGCAGGGGGGATGTTTAAGGAGAACTGGCACGGGGATGAAGTGGACTCGGTCAGGCTCACCCCCTCCCGCTCCCAAATCATAAGGACTCCATCTCTGGGCAGGGAGGGCCACGAGAAAGGCTCGGGTAGGACTGCGGTGTCGGACGAGCTGCGGCTCTGGTACCAGCGGTCCACGGCCTCCCACAAGGAGCACAGCCGCCTCTCGCACACGAGCTCCACCTCCTCGGACAGCAGCTCCCAGTACAGCACATCTTCACAAAGCACCTTTGTGGCGCACAGCCGGGTCACGAGAATGCCTCAGATGTGTAAAGCGACATCAGGTGAGAGCTGGGCCGGGGAGGAGGGGTGGGAGGGATGGGGGCCTCCTGCAGCCCGGATTCGTGCCAGGCATTACACCCCGGCTGGAGAGCAGTGCCAGACCACAGCGTGTTTGTTCTCTGGCCTTCACGTGCTGCTCGCCAAGCCTGGAGGCACAACGCTGGGTGGTGAGCCTTGTCCAAGACACTCGCTGAGTGGGGATGTTTTTCCACAGAAATCATCACTTTGCAGTGATGGGCTCAAAAGACAGGGAGGGACTGGAGACTGATTATTGCCAGATCTTTCCTCAGAGTTTGGGGTTTTGGGTGATAGCACTAGGGGCTGAAGGTGATGAAACCATGAGTAGCATCACTCTTCATAATCACAGTGAGGGGAACGATGAAGCAAGCAGGGGTTCAGCACAGACCAGGAGAATGTGTGTCTTCAGTGAGAAAATAGCATGAGAAAGGTTAAGTGGGGGCATCCCAACCCCCCCACCCCCCACAAAAATGTTTGAGCGATGACATCTTTGTGCACTGCTGAGACTTGGTTTTCCCATGCAGTTCCAAGAGCTCTGCTGATAATATCCTGAAACTCAGAGTGCTGAAGTTTGTGCAGTATTATGCCTCTGTGTCATGTACAGAGCTTTGCACTCCTCTGTGCTGTTAATATTAAGTCAAATTCATTACACTGAGAAGGCCACAATGTGCTGTGAAACAGTCCAAGGTTAAATATTTACTGGCCATCAGTCACCACTGGACAAACCAGTGTGGACAGATCAAGGACTGCTCAAAACCTGAGCCACACACCTCAGCCTCGGCTTGCCACTGGCCCTTGTGGCCTCCCTGGGCCAACCAGTGTCCACCCATGCTGGCTCTTGACTCTCAGACATCCCAGCATGGATCCTGGACCATGGTGACCACCACACTGGCACCAGTGGGGGCCTGAACTCTCTGCCAGCTCCAGAGGTGGTTTGACACAGACTCCTCATGGGCCACTGACAGCTGCCCGAGAAGAGGCTGATTTATATGGTGCCAAAGCTCACAGGAGGACCAGGTGTGGCCCAAGACGTAACTGAGTAGCTGCTACAACCATCCTGTGTCTCCCTATGAAAATCTGTCTTCTTCCCTTTGGTTAGTGGGCATTTCTGTTCCATGCAGCAACAGAAAACGCTGGACACTGGAAAGCTTTGCCTTGGTTGGCTTTGGAAACCATACCAGTTCAGCAAGATGTGGGATTGGGGTGAAACCACGTGAAAATCACTGTTAGTCAGTCCATTCCCCCACTCAGCTGGGTCTTTAAACCTAAATGTGATATCTGGGCAACACAGGGGGAAGTGTGCTCAGCTTGTCCTGACCAGTTGGCAGCATAGATTGGGTTTGTGTTTGGAGTCCATTCCCAGTCACAGCTCTGGGAGAACACTGACCTTAGGGGTTGTCAGCTCCAAGGAGCAGATTAAAATTTGTTCTTCGCTTCCAGTGTCATTTGGCAGCAGCTAAAGAATTTAACAGCCCAGAAGGGGATGCCAGGTAGAAATCTCCATTGTTTCAGCTGATCAACCCTAGCTGATAGTTCTGCTGGACTGCACACTGTCTTTCAAAGAGGATCAGACTTCTTGGCATGTATTAACTTCAGAGAGTCAGCACTGTGTGGACTTGAGAAGGAGGAAAGATTAGTCAGGTGGATTTATAAGCTGAATCTGCACCAGAGAAACTCCCCCAAGAACCGCTGCCCATTTTTAGTCCAGCTTGCTTCTGTTTTCACTGGAGTAAGATAAACCTTTCTTTGGTCCCATAGTGGACTGTGAGCAAAGCCAGACTTCAGCTTTTTACAAATGCATGGTGAAAGGTGGTTGTAGCTTCTGAAATCTTCAGAACTGCCTTCCTCCTTTGCACATGAAGCTGTGTACTTGTCCAGACTCTGGCCACTGCCAGCCCTGGCTCCTGGGGACACAGAGCATCTCACAGGATCCCTGGAAGCAGAAGGCTGAGCCTGACAGGCTGAGCTCATCCAGTTTCGGTACCCATGGAGTCCAGGTGGCAGCAGAACCAAGCTACCGTGCTGAGAGAAGTGTGGTGTCTCCCAGGCAGGCTCAGGAGAGTCAGGGTGGCTGTATTCACCTGGAGGCCAGGCTGAAATGCAGCATTCCTGCAGAGCTGGGGCCAGCTCCAGCCCGTGACACGCAGCAGTGTCAGCCGTGGGCTGGTGCTCCTGTGCCACGTTAGGGCACAGTCACCCAGGAACGGGGTGAGGTCTGTCCCAGGCAGTGTTTACTCACGGCCAGACATGTTCCTGCTGGTCTGACCAGATAATTCTTCTGAACCGCCCTGACCCTTGGTGCCCTCGCCTCACTGGTTGTTCTTCTCCACCCGTGGTTGTTTTCCAGCTGCCTTACCTCACAGCCAGAGGAGTTCCACGCCGTCGAGTGAACTCGCAGCCACGCCGCCGGGCAGTCCCCACCACATTCTCACATGGCAGACTGGGTGAGTGCCCGTGGGATCGGGTTAGACAATCCATCTCAGTGCCAGTGGGAAAAACCTCCCCACACACAAGCACAGGGAGAGCGCAGATATGGGAAACATTTTTAATAGCCTGCACCTGCACAGAGCATTTCCAGACTCCCATCCATACACTGCTGGTGGTGGGGCTCTGGTTTGGGCTGAGCAAGACATGGCTGTGCCATCCACACCCAGCAGCACCGCTCCAAGCAGTGCTGGATCCACAGGGAAAGAAGCCTTGCAGGTTCCTCCTGCTTGGACAGTCTCTTTCCTCCAGTTGTCATATGTTGAAATAGCTGATATTTCTGTTTTAGCAGCCACCATCCTGGCTGTCTACACCAAGGCCTTGTCCATGCCTGTGTGTGCAGCAGCCACATTTTCCTGCTCAGTTTTCCCCAGCAATGGGTCTTCATGACTGCTAAGTGTTTCTTTTTTTTCAACTACCATTAACCTGAAGGTGCCTCACCGAGGTGTGAGTCATTACACAGAGGTAGCCATTACTCATGTAAATATAGTAATTGGGTTCTTTAGCACCTCTTTGCCAGGCAGGGAGTTCCAGGAGTAAACAAACAGCCATTTGCAAGCTCCCATGGGTATATTCTGTCCTGCCACACCAAATAAAGGTCATTTCCAGATCCCGACTAACTCAGCACATCCCAGATTGTGGGATGAGATTTTGGTGAGATCAGCTGGAACTGAGACTGCAGTCCTCAAAATACCCTAATCCCTTGAATAGGAAAATGGATCCGATCCCGGAGTCATGAATTGGGACTGGTAACTTTGCAAATATTTCACTGTGCAGCCACTGGAAAATCTCACGCTCTTTAATTACCCTGGTCACCTATGACCAGGCTGGACCTCTGGTTTTACTCCAGCACCGCTTGTGACTGCACTTTAAACTGGAGATGAGGAGAACCATAACCACAACCCCTTAGGCCTGCTTGGATTTTAAATTCACACATTTGACATCCAGCCTCACATGGTCTTTGCATGTGCTTTCAGCTTGAGAACAGGAAACTGTTCCTGGTCCCATTTCATAAAAAGTCAAGGGATAGCAAGATAGGCAAAGTGGCATCTACATTTACCATACACTGACATTTCCACAACTAAGAGCTTGAGTCTAGACTCAGTCTCAGTCTCCATCCCAGTCCTAATTCTTCTAAACATCTCTATGATGACCAGAAGTAAAACTATGAGCAGCCAGCTGAGACAACTGTTTGGATAATCCTAGCTTTTTCTTATTTTTCCATTCAAGATAAGTCCTGCACCCTGTCTCTCACAGCAAAATTGCATCAAGCCAAATTCTCGGCTGGTGAAAGTGAAGTTACCTGGATTTATAGCTTAGGCCCTGCACCAACAACCAGTGCAAAGAGAACTGGAGACAAATCAGCACTTATTTCATGGCTGAGCATAGCACATGTACACGGCATGTGTATAACTACAGCAGGAGCAGGCACAGTCTGCCATTAGATGCACAGCACAGACTCCCCCACTGCAGGGCCAGCTGTGCCCACCCAGCACAACTCAGCAGATTGACAGTTCTCCCCAACATGTTTTTGTGTCACTAACTTTTTCTAAAGATGAGTCATCAACTTGTTTCCCCACTGGATTAATAAGCTCATAACAATGTCTGTGTCATTTCTTTTCTTTAACATTTCCTCTCTCCTCTTTCCTCCTTTTTTTGCTCTCCTTTGCTCAGAGAAGCAACAGACAACTCACCCACTATGGATGAGTCTCAGTCTCCAACCCACCAAAGTACTGATGAATAGAGGTATAGTAAGGGAACGTTTTGTTCTTTCCTCCTTCTGCCTTAACAGTCCGTGAGCACAGTGCGAATAACCGGCGTCCTGCTGTCCCACTGGAGCAGCTCTTTAATTCTGTGCCCGTTTGTTTGCCAGCAAGGCTTCCTTCAGCTCTCAGAAGGACAACTTGGAAGCCTCTCGAAGCCGCTCTCTGTGCCTTTTCAGCAATTCTGTGGCTGTGGCACTTTCCCCTGTGAAAGGGACTCAGGGCCAGCCTGCTCTGTGCTCCTGCAGGGGCTGGACAGGCACAGAGAGCAGTGGGGGGTGACAAATCTGTGGCTGGGGACAATTCAGAGCAGGGTGGGCAAAGTGCTGGGGGACAGTCTGGGAGCAGTGGGGCCGGGAGACGAGCTGGGGTAGGCAGGAGCCTCGGAGGACCCAGCCTGAGTTCCCAGCACTGAGCGCCCCTTTCTCCCTCCTCCCTCCCTACCACAGAACTGTGAAGCTGAGGCTCTAAGCATCTAGGTTTCCTGGAACAAGGAGCAACCTTGGCCCCAGTTCCTGTGGGAAGACAGGAGGGGGGAAGGGTGGAGGGAACAAAAAAAACCCACAGAGTTTTTCTATTTTAATTAAACTGCCATCGCTGTCTGACACTCTCATTTGAATCTACAACCATTCACAGCTGGCATCTGTCAAGTATTTCAAGCCCAGCTTTCTAGAGGTATCCCATAAACCACTCCAGCCCAGTGCTGGGAAACAAAAGGCTCTTTAACATGCAGATGATGATGCCCTTGCTCAGGTTCTTCCCAGACCAATTCCAGGGAAACCAGGTGGAAAACAGGGCAGAGGAAGCAGGAACTGAATCAAATGAGAGAGCAGTCCTGTGAGGTGGGGAGGGAGCAGAGGAAAGAGTGAGAATCCCACCGTATACAAAAGGAAAATGCATCTCCCACTTTTGGCCTCAAAACAATCTCTAGCTTGGAAGTCGGTTCAAATCAGTGTGAGAGAGAGACATCAATTCTGGCAATTGCTGTGCAGATAGAGCAGCCACTTTTCAAAAGGTCCAGACTTTGACCTCAGTGCTTTCCTCTGGCAAGGAGCTCCACAGCCTAAGCCAGGAGCTGATCCTGATCAGAGCTCTTAACGGAAACAACAAAGAAAATTCTTGGGAATTGTCTCATCTGCTCAGTAAAGGCAGCAGAAGAAGCAGCACCTTGTCAGGAGATGTGCCCCAAAATGAGGACTAGGCTGTCTACAACAGGGCACAGTCCTTTCCACATCAGACCTGGCACGCTCTCACTAGTTGCTTCATGGTTCATCCTTGGAAAGCCACATGACTCTGGGATTGCCAGGTGATGCACAAGCCTCTGCCCAGAGCAGAAGTGCCACAGGAAAGCACCACCAACCACCCTCCTCTTCCCACATTCCCACTGGATGATACAGTCCATGGCCGAGAGAGCTGAACTTAGAACTTGCTCCCTGGCAAGCATCCTACCAAAAACCTCCTTACCCCTGCTTACTACCGGGCAGGACAGCAAGGCAGAGCCCTCAGGCTGGAAGCACAGCAGCTCTGCCTGTTGCCATTCCTGCATCCAAACCTCAGGGTACCCTGGCTGCGGAGAAGCTGTCAGAGCTCAGCTTTCTCCTGCCTCCTCACACCAGGCGGGCTGCTGGGGCAAATGGGACTGCTGGGCAAGAGCAAACTGGGTCAAAGCAGAGTCCTGCATGCTGAGCCCACCCCAAATATCAGCTTGGGAGTACCTGTAAAGTGCAGTGGGGTCTGAATATCCTGCGTTCCTCTCCACCCATAATACAATGTTTAATGCTCACGGTTGAACTTCTCAGGAGGCCTCGCTGTCCTAACAAGGTTTCCTTTCTCCTGCAGGAACTACAATGATAGCTGTTTCCTGGATTCTCCCCTCTATCCAGAATTAGCAGATGTCCAGTGGTATGGGCAGGAAAAAGCCAAGCCTGGGACTCTAGTGTGAACCCCTGACCTCAAGTTAATCACATCAATGCCATTCTGAGATCACCTCACTGCCTCTCATTTGCCTTACCCAGATGCACTGTCACCCAGCACCAGCTTCAACTCTAAGCACTTTTCTCACGATGCAGTTCAAGGCGACACTTACGGAACACTGGCCCTGAGACATCCACCGCGGCAGCGACGGAGCGCAGCACATCCCACGGCCAGGCAGGTGCCCGTCCCTCCCACGGCAGTGGCTGGAGAGGAGCAGACACCTGAACAGCCAGGTGGCAGTTTAAAAATTGGTTTTCCTTGGAAACAGTGGAAGCCTCTCAAGGCTTGCATCAAATCTTCTTAGTGTTCCACGGCACGTAACAGCAGTAAGAGTTCCATGACCTGCGAGCTGAAGCCAACAGAATTAGTTTTAAGGGGGTGGGGATGGGACAGAGGCTGAGAAATGGATACCATAGTCCTGAAAGTGCATCTGTTCTGAAGAAACAGCAAAATCCCATCACTGCAGAGATATGTTAGTGTCACAGTCAGATCGGCACTGCCAAAAATCACCGCACCACCATTTGCAGGACAAGTTTGCTCGCAAGTTTTAGCTACGAGAACATCTCCCTCCTTTTAACTCGGTGGCAAACACGGCCACCTCCTGTAAAATGGCATTTCCTTCTTCGCTTGGAGCCCACCTATACGCAAGTAAAACAACCCCCCGCGCTGCAGACACACCAGAGTTCTGGGCTGGTATCACAGCACCGCTGTCTAAAAGCTACTGTTAAACTGGACAAACAAGGTTTACGAAGGCATTACCTAAAGCAGAGGCGAGTACTGCACTCACAGCACCTCTGCGGCTGGCACAGGGTGCCCACCAATGCACAGAGAGGTTGGGGGTTGCGCCGGTTGCTTTGATAAAAGATAAAAATTGCCAAAAACAAAACCAAAACAAACCTTTCTGCAAACAGATACAGCCGATAAATTCGAATCGATTTCTGCACAAAGCGTCAAGGTGAAGTCAAAGGGCGAGCACGTCGCAGTCGAATCGGCGCGGTAGGGCTGAGTCAACATATCGGTTCCACTCACCTTCCCTTCGTTAGCACCCGTGTAGCAAAGGGCTCGTCACCCGCGTGCTGCTGCGTGGGAGAACCGGTCTGTCGGGGAGACGGGAAGGCTCCGCAGCAGAGCAGGGTCGGACAACCAGCAGGCAGGCAGATCTTCCCATTGCAAGACCACAGGGAAGAGAAGCGACGGCGGGCGGCGCTGGGCACGAGCGAGGGCTGCCTGCTGATACCAAAAGGAATCGCACGAGCGCGTCACGGAAGGAGCCGCGAGTTTACACGTACTTTTGAGCAATGCTTTATTCACGTCAAGCCATGGAACTTTAAAAGGCCTCAAAGACACTTTTGTAACGAACAAGTGCACAATCTAGGTGGATGTTGAAGCTGGCACGGTCTAGTCTTCACTGCGGTGCTATGCTGTTTTTATTGCCACTCGATGGGGGGAGGCGCCCGGCCTTCCCTCGTTGGTGCGTGCAAACGATGATTTCCTATGGGAAAGGCATTAAAAGAAACGGCTGGAGGGGGGTTACTTTGTGAAAAGCAGAAACTGAAGTTAGCTTTAGTTTTAAGGAAAAAGGAAAAAAAAAACAAACGTGTGAGCGTGTGTGTGTGTTTGAGTGAGAGTGTGTGTGTGTGTTTCCAAGAATAACAACAGCGTCTACCAGACAAAGAAGGGCGAAACGTTTCAAATTAAACACAGCGACTTGGGGGGCTGCCACACCTTTTGGTATTAAAATTGCTGGAAAACTGCATTCCAGGCTTTAAAAGAGAAGGGTTCTGCATAATTAGGCTTTGAAAAACGATGGGGTTTCTAAGCATTAATACCTTTCTGCAACTCTCACCAGAAACGTTGGCTTCAGTTCCCTGCGCTGCTGCCTCACATGGCTGGTAAGGCAGGGGGTGGCCTTGCAGAGATGAGACAGTGACAGGCAGAAAGGCTGTTTATTTGTCCAGGGGAATCCACGGCAGAGTCAGGATTGGATGGGGCAAAAGCCGAGGCTGGATGGGGCTCTGAGGCAAGCTGGTCTCGTGGAAGGTGTCCCTGCCTGTGGCAGGGGGTTGGAACAAGATGATCCTTAAGGTCCCTTCCAACCCAAACCATTCTATGATTCTGGGATAAGGAAACCCTTTCATACTCACACATGAAACATAAATTAATTACTCCTATTAAAAAAAAACAAACACCCACACTAAAACAACAAAAAACACGGGCCAGGGGTTTCAAACGTGGCCACACAAACCTTGTGCTTTTGGGCCTCCTTGAAGCTTCACCCTGGGAGTGTAACGCCCTGTGACAGTAATTGAAGCCTTGTATCCAATTCTGGAAGAACAGCCAGCGGTGAGATTACACCCTTCACTTGGACATGCAAAATGCTGTTTTCACCATCTCTTTGTGCATTGGGGTCTTTAACACAGGAATTATTTCAAGCTCCTAATTGGATTTTTAGCTGGATAAGAGATAGTACTGATTAATGACATTTACTGATAAGATTTGGAAGCTAAAGTGAAAGGATTAAATAAGGACCAAATTAAGCAGCAGCGAGTAATTTAGCCCAAGGATTTTTAGGGGCTCTGAGCAACTGTCTGTTTTCTTTTTAATTTCCCTGGTAAGTGGTTTGGGTTGGTTTTTTTTTTAATGTGTACCTTCTTTTAATTAAAAAGAATTCAACAACAGCGGCACTATGACGCCTCTGGGCACTACAGGAAGAAACATTAATTCCTCCAAGACCAGCTCTGCAGTCTTGCAGCAAAGGTTAAAAGGTGGCAGCCCTGAAATTGGAGGGGGGAAAAAAACCCAGAATGTTTAGCCTGAATTGCAAACAGGCTGGAGTGAAGAAAAAGCTTTCTAGAAACGGATTGAGTTTTGCTTTGTGTTCTGCTTTTCTGGTTTGCAATCAAGGCACATGTGAGCAGCCAGTCTGGTAGTAAAGACAGATTAAGTAAAACAGGTTTTACTGTTTAGCTCAATTCAATTAAACACAAATGTACATAAAATGTTAATCATATGAGATTAACATATTTAAGTATAGCACGGAGGGGTATATACATAGCTATTATAGACAAGCACTTGACTACCAACTTAACCCCTCCTTTTTTTATTTTTCAAGGCTCCATCTGCCATAAAGCCACAACCGCGTTCTTCGTCTCCGTTGTCTGACGCTCCCTCTGTGTGGGCAGGAGCCAGTGGACAGTCCATGCACTGGGCTGTGCTGGAGGCAGGGTTTATTTTTAAATGGTATTATATGCAGTCGAGTGTTGAAAATGTTGAAACAAGTCCAATTTGTTTTCACTCTGTATTAGTTTTAGTTTCAGGCATAGCCGATCCCCATTCAGGTGCTATCAGATGACCAGTTACTGCTTAGTTAACTAGATGTAAAGTTTTACATATATATTAATGTCAATAGTTTTATTACAGGTTGTGTAAAATGGACTCTCTAGTTTAAAAAAAAAAAAAAAGAAAAAAAAAAAAAAAGGAAGAAAAAAAAAAAATTAGGTCTCTCCTGAAATTGAACTTTAGAGCATGGAAAATGATTTTACTGGATTCTGTTCAACTGTAATCAAGGAAAAAAAAAATATGTATGTTGTAGAAAAAGTTGCAGAATTAAAAAAGATCTGCTTTTAATTTATTCTTTTTGTATTAAGAATTTGTATAGTTACCTTTACATTTTGCAAAACGGTGTTGTCAACACTTCCTTATTAAAGCATTTTCAAAATGAAACCTTGCCGTGGTCTCTTCGGGAGGGCACAGCACTCGGGCAGCTCCTACCTGGCGACTGCACCGCTACCCCTGCCAGATGCAAGCTCCAGATGTGCACACAGCTGGCCAGGGTGTCCGTGAGGCACCCACTCCTTGGCTGTCAGGGGGCCTGACTGCAGGAAACATTGGGCATTCCCCCCACCCAAAATCCTGTCCTTTAGAGATCCCTTGGGATTCGGTGCTTGTGCTCAGCAGATCCGTGCTTGCTCCGTTGCGTGTTCTCCCGAGCACAGGAGAAAAACGGTGTGATGGAATTCCCACCAGCACAGGAAACAGGCATGGGTATAATCCTTACTTCCAACACATGTAACTAAAATTAACACTCACTTGTATGAATTGGATGCCAAGTTGCTGCAAGGCCATTTGCAGCAACACCAACAGCTGTGGGACTGGCTTGAGCGCCAGCACGTTCCCCAGTGCTCCAAGAACTGCCTGCTCCTTGAATTCCTGAGGGAACCCACCCCAGCAGAGGCTGCTCTAGCTCAGGGTGGGGCTTTGCCGGCAGCAGTGACCCCTGCACAGGGTTAGGGATGTCACTTAATCCCAGTTTTCCCCTCTGTGGGCAGTGGTGACCCCTGCAGCCACCCACCCGCTGTCCCAAACTGCAAACAGCTCACATGGGACCCATCCACACTTCCCAGCGCAGTTGCTTCCGGCTCTTTTCCTTTTATTCTCACTGTCCACAGAGCCTCTTCCCACCTGATCCCCCACACCCCACAGGGAGCCACCAGTGGCACCAGCCCAGAGCCAGGCAGCACCCCCAGCCATCAAGCAGCACTGCTGCATGAGGGACCATCATGGGCAGCAAATCCCCAGGAGGGTTTGGGATGGGACAAAGCAGCCATAATCAAGGTTTCAAACACCCCTGGAACTCTGGGACCTTCTCAGATTTATTGCCAGTGGCTCCCATAGTGCTGCAGGCACCTTTTCCAGCTCGACACCGCCTCAGGAGCAGCTTTTGGGACAGCCTGCTCCAGATCCGACACCAGCACTGCCTCCCTTGTGCCACCCCTATTGGAAGGCGCTACAGTGTCCTCATCCCCTGGGTCCAGGAGTCAGAGCAGTCCCTTCCCTCCTGAGAAGTGAAGCCTTTTACATGCCAGCCAGGTTTATTCTTTGGGCAAGACTGGATTCATGGTGGTGATTCTCTGAGAGCCAGCAGGAGAAAAACCCAGTTCCTCCATCAAAATAAACACACACCTGCCCTAAGAGCCTTTCCAGCGGTACAAACAGCAAACAGGGAGTCAAATTTAAGTACCATCAGGCACAATAATACCCGCATCAGGTATTATCTCAAACCACCTATCCTGAGAGTTCACCTCACACAGCCCCTTCCACCACCGGGGTTGGGGTCAGGGGCTGCAACAAATGGCTGGGGCCACTGAAGTCCCAAAACCACTCCAGACACTGCTGTGGCAAATGCATGAATTCATCCCAAGTCTTCGGATTCAGCGGAATTATTTCCGCCTAATGCTGGAATTATCAGAAATAAACATCTGGAGAAGCCCACAGGGAAAAGTCTGAACTGCTAAACTGAAACATACCCTCCCCACACAAGCCGTTGAGCAGCGTGACAGCTGCACCCCACCCACTCGTCCCTAAACCAGACTCGGGTGGGTTTGGGATTTTTTTTGGCTGAGAGGCATTATTAACTATTTGATCACGGTCTGGTAGCTGCAATCTGGGGCCATCCGGCTGCAAAGAGCCTCCAACCGGTGATGGAACGCAGCTGCCGTAACAGCGTCCCCCCGGCTCACCATCCCACGGGACCAAGGCTGGCTCTCACGTGCCAGGCAGCTGGAAACTCTTACACGGATCTGCCGTGAGAAAGCACTCCTCAGCTCCCCACGCAGCGCCATTCCACGAATTGCAGGGGGATAAAGCTCTTCCGTCGGGGGACTCATTCGAGCGAGACGGCCGCGTTTCAGGGACTGTCAGCAAGGAGGCACGTTGCTTGAATTACATTCTTTAAACCCTGATCAGGCTGAAACCTTCCAGCCCCAAACTGACATCCCTACAGGAGGCGCATCCACACTCAAACCGGCACTCAGGGTACCATTAAAAACTCCCCTCAATAACTGGCTCTAAAGCAGGAGGGGAAAAATCTGTGTAGCACTATTACAGATGCCCCAAGGAATCCACTTCCCCCTAAAGCAGACGATAGAATGCTCCTTAAACCATCCCCTGGCTACTCACTCGCTGCAGTTTCCAGGGAAATTACAGCTCTTCTGAACAAGGGACAATATTGTCCCTCAATTATTTACAGAGTTCAAAATTAAGGTCAAGATGAAGATTTAAAAACAGCTCAGGAAACCGTCTGGGTGGGGAGAGGGATAAGGTTGCGGCGTTGCACGTTTCCTGTTATAATAAAGCCTCCAAAGAATATCTGTGCAGAGCACTGCAAAAAAAAAAAGGAATCACCAGACACCACTGTTAATGAAACCCTTCCATGCTCTTGACATCTGCCCAGCTTCCCCCCACAAACCCCCACCTACTCCCCAGAGGCCCCTCCCCAAGCACCGGTGAGGTCTCAGCAGCCTCACTTTTATTACTTCTAAACTGTTTAAGCTCTTGACATTTTCTCTGGGGTCAAACACTCCAGGCTGAAAATCTCCCGTGTCCAGAGAGGCACTTTAGAATCTAAGAGTCTCCAGGAGAACCCGAAGTTCCTCAAGACACTCCTCCAAACTCGCTGCCAGCACAAATCCCCCAGCGCCACATCTCACTGTGCCATGGGACACTGGAAGCACCCACAGGAGAGGGGGCAGTTCCTTGAGGAGAAGGCACCAGCTCCTGCTCCACCCTGCCAGTCAAGGTGAGGACCCAGACAAACCCACACACTAGAGTGTTGACACATTTCTTCAGGAAGCGGTTCCGCTAAGAGCTAACAAAGTTTCACTGTTCCACTGTTTATGCAGAATTGGATCATCATTCCCGTGAGTTTCTTCGCCATTCCCAGTCAAGATGCACAATGGTGAAGATTTGTGGCTGCCAGAAATACTGTTGGTGGTCATGGGAGGTCCTAATTATTTTCTCTGCAATGCCCAGCAGACTGAAATTTTCTCCAGATGTATAAAAATGGGATTTGAAAGCCCCAAGAGCCATAAGATTACTTCCCCCAAGCCCAGAAGGTTTATATTAAAAATGTCATTACCAAAAAGAAAAAAAAAAAGCCAAATCAGATGCATTTAAGATCAAAAACTCTTTGCACTGAGGCTGAGAAATACACAAACCTTTTTTTTTTTATTCCTGATAAATACCACATGAAAGATTAGCCCATAAAGTCTTTATATTTACAGAAATAACCAAGCTTCAGATTCAACTGCTTCCCTCTAATCATCTCCCCACATCAGTCTCCAATGCAAAAGCAGCCAAAAAAAAAGCTCCACATATGCTCCTTGCAGGGCTGAGTCTCAACTAAAGCTCTAAAATATGGGAAACAGTTCAGTCTGAATAACAAACTGAAATAAAAGCAAGGCTCTCGTGCACTGTCCCCTGGTCACTGTCCTGGTCTTAACCTCTTCAAAACCCACCTCTCCTTTGCTGTATACTGGTTGTGTTCAACATAAAGCACAGATTTAAAAATAAAACCTAAATAAACGGGGCTTGTAAAAAGGAAGCTGTAGAAAATCTCCTGCTTTCTGCATTTTCACAAAGTTCCTGTTGGTGTCCAAGCACAGGCTCTGCCTCTTCCATCCTCTCTGGGTCTTGGAGGCAAAAATATGAGTCACGCCTTGGCCCCTGCAGAGCCTCACAGAGCGTTGTACTCCACACACTTGGATGGGTCTGTTGGGAAGTGCTTCTGGCAAATGGTCATGAGCCTCTTCAGCCCCTAGGAATTAATAGAACAATTACAATTCTGTAATAAAGCTGCAGCTGTCAAACAAACTTAATGGCCTACAGTATTTTTAAGCTTAACAAGAAGAATTAAATAAGAATAGGTTGCTATTTTGGGGTTGGGATGGTTTTTTTGGGGGGTGGTTTTCTCCATTCAACTTTTATTAACCTTTCTCCCTGCAATTTGTCGAGTTCTCTCCAAAATTTAGAGAAGTTTGGTGCATAACTAAAGAAACGTGGTGAGATTCATAGTGAAGGATCACAGAAATGCTTTAACGTCTCTTTATCACCAAGGGAGAAAATGATACCACAACAAAATACATTTAAAAGAAAGCTGAATATCAAAAGTAATTCTGAAGAGCAAACAGCAATTTTTGACACCAAAACAAGCTGCACACCCAAGAAAAGAACCAAACATTTCTTGGGAGGAGAAATGCAGTACCACACGTGACACTCCAGAGGCAAACTGAAGAAGCAATCAAGGAGAAAGGCAGAATGTGGACTTTTCATTCTTTCAAGGCACCAGTTGCCAAAAACCAACGTGACAGAAACCCTGTGATTATTTTCTTTCAAGTCACGGAGAAAAGTCTCACAAAAAAGAAAGCAAACTGCTGTGGTGGAAATGTAATTTGGCAGTGCCATTGTACTCCAAGATGGCAGAGTCCTGTCCCTGTCGTTAGACACTCATCATGGAAGGCAGCTCCTCACGAAGGGAAAAATGGTATTGAAAACCATAGCTGAAAAGAAAGCAAAAGTGATACTTGTAGCCCCAAAACAAAAAGACTCAGGGTAGAAAGGTGAAGTTGCATTTTGCAAGCAGTTTTCTTGCAAACATCTGCAGCAGACGAAAAGCAACAGGAGTCCTCTTCATCAGGAAGAAATTTCTGGAAGCCTCCCCTGCCAGAAGCTTTGAGCTCCAAGATGCTGCTCTGGAGGATTCAGAGTTAAGCCTGAAGGTCTCTATCTCTACAAAACTGCAACTGGTAAAAGGCAAATACATTTAACAATACAAGCAGAGAAGACTTGTTTCCTCAGACCTGTCCACCCACTATGCTGAAAGGTCAGAGGAGAAAAACAGCACTGCTACTAATTCCACAACCAAAAGTTTACAATGTGACTATGAAAATGCACAGGAGGAACTAAACCTGGAATTTTGAGCCCACATTGTTAGAGAGACGTGTCTGAAAATTGAATTAATTTATGAACGCATTTATCTAGTTGCAGAAATAGTCAGAAGGACTGCACGTCGTGGTGTTAAATTCTGTGCATGGTGTTTAAACCGTGAGTTAAGCAGTGAAGGACCTCAGGAGAATCTGGCATGATTCACAACTGCTTTGTTGCTCAGAGAAACCCACTGCACCATTCCTCGCCCAGAACTGAAGAACATTCAGGTCCGGGATGAGCTACCCATTAACTGGATGTTATTCCTGAGCCAAACTAAAACAACTGTCCGTTTCCAGGGCTCTTTTACCACGTCAGCTGAAACTAGTATTTCTCAAAGATCCCCCAACTTCAAAAGCAAACCTGCTGGATTTCCAAAGCCAACATTACCTGTATGTATTTCCTCTGGGTTTCATCGTTCAGGACATGGGCCACGTGCTTGGAGAAGATCTTCTCCCGGCCCGTTCTCGCGTGGATGCCGACCATGGTGACACCGATGGGCCAGGGAGCGTTCCCGATGGCCATCTGGAGATAGGCATCGTTGGCCTGAAGAAGTTAAGTGCAGGCACTCTTAGCAAAACCAGGAAGAGCAGCAGGGAGCAGAGCATTTTTGCATTGCCAGACGCAGTAAAACACCCGCTCCAGTCTCTCCGATCTCGGTTTCATTGCACAACATCAACCAGTCACACAACACACCTTCCCAACACAGTTCATGCTGAACTCTGAGGGAAGCAGGGACTATGGACTTGACTGATGAAAAAAAAAAAAGCACTGGATAAGGCAGTCTGGTTCCCTTGATTTAAACTGGGTTTTATTAATTTTTTTCTGGGTTTTATTCACTTTTTACTGGGATTGTTTTCAACTCAGCCACCTCGGGTTAAATAAGCACATTTCGTGACAATGTTTATGACCAGAGATGTAGCAGCAGTAAATCAATATGAAATTTCCTGATCAAGATAGCAGATCCCATTTCTAAAGCTGAAGCAGAAAACATCCCTGGGGAAGAACAGGGATAAAACTCAAAAGGGAAAATTAATTGAAAGAAAAGGAGAAAGGAAGAGAAGTATAGAGCTAAAAAAAATCATGACAACTGAGAACCAGCAAGTGAGGAGGACAGACACTGGGTTTATAGATACAATTACACAAACAACTTCAAGGATGTGGAGCAGGACATTCCTTCTCTATTAGAGAGCAGTTACAAAACTCACTGATAAAGAGTTCATTTATCACCTCCTATTCAGAAACTAGGCAATAAGAAGTAGCAATCATGACCAGTGGGTGCAGATTCTTTCCAACTGGCTCTGAGCAAACTGGGAGGTGAATAATGAACAAGGCAGGGGGCTGCAGGCAGAGCTAAAAGTAAATCTGGAGAAGGGACAGGACACAGTCACCATCTACATGTGGCAGAATCTGAACAGTTCTTAGTCAAATACCTACTTGCTGAATTAAAGACACTTTTATCATGAAACACAGTATGTGGACATGCAATAAAGACCCTTCCAGCACTGTCACAACAGAGTTAATTAAGGCTGAGTGGGCAACTTGCATTCTGGCACTTGCCTGCTGTCAACACAAAATTAAAATCTTTCAAGCATTTCAACTAACAAAGCAGTAAGAATTTGTTGCTGGCAGTATTCACCAGGATGCACAAAGCAAAAAAGCACAGAGGACAACAGCAGGCAAAAAGAGACAAGTCTCTCAGGAAGCAAAATGGAAAAGGATATGAGTATCTTTAAAAGCACAAGACTCATTAGTCTAATAAAAAAAAAAAAAAGCAAAACTTTCAAATGTGGACTCAAGTACTCCAAAACGTGTGAAATTTACTTAAAGCCAAGCACCTCCAGGAGAAAGGAGCACAGCTGACTAACCCAGAGATAAACCACATTCCTGCATGCTCCTCACTTTGAGAAGGCATTGGAAAGGGAATTGCCATATAATGGTAACAACCAAAAGAAAAAAAAATGCCCCAAAACAAAACGTCACTATCATATATCCCACTCGTTCAGTTCTAGTTTCACATGATTTGGATTGAACTTGCCTTAGGCCATCTAAAGTTTTTTTCAGTATCAAAAACAGGTTTGCTTGATTACTCGACAAATTATCCCAAGTCCTCAAAAGAACAATAAGAAATCCTAGAAATTTAAAGGCAAAACACAGCTCCATTTCCTCTGCATGCACGAGCTGCTTGAGCAAATGCTACCAGCATCTGAGTTCCACTTCGGAAGGCAACTACAAACAAAACCTAACACTGCCTTTGATCTCGTGTCCCAAAGTACTTCTGCCTCCTCCAGTGAGCAGCCTTTGTCCAAAAAAAACTTTTCATTAACTTGCCTCAACCTTACCAGGCCAGTTAATCTGAGCATAGCCAAAGAAGAATGGGACAGTATCTCATATTCTCAAAACTCAGTTCACCTCAATTAATTCATAATTAAGTAATCAACACCTATTACTATTCATTCAATACCTTCATTTAACCTTACAATATCAGGTTTCCTATAGAGGATTCCTCTGCAATTTCTCAGAACAATTCTCTTCATGTTTGCAAAGATATGCAAAGTTTCATGAACCTCCAAAGATCTTCTATCGGGCTCTGGATCAAACACTACTTGTAGCCTAACATTTATCAGCAGTTTTTCATTTTGTTTGAGTAGATGTTGCATTTCCAGCTATATACCTTCAAAATTAAAAACACTGGAACGTTTAAGCAATAAACTCCATCTTTTGCAACCAGACAGTCTGAACATGCTGGAAGAGTGCAAACAAACGTACCTTCACGTACTCTCTTTGCAACATGAATTTAATAATATCTGTTATTGATTCTTTGATGTCTGCAGGAAGTGTCTACAGGAGAGAGGGGGAAAAGAAAAAAAAAAAGACATTTACTTCAGAATAGCAGCTCAGGAAAATCATCCTACTCAGCATTTATACAAAGTTTAACAACTACCCTTGCTTGAGGACTTTAATAAAGGAAAACATCTTTGTTATTTAGATGAAGGATCTGAAGCAGGAGAGGTTAAGTGGTTACACCTGGTAGTTGGTGGCAAAGGGCAAAATGCAACCCCAGTTCCCTATCACATTTGCAACCCAATGAACAGGTGATGCTTTAAGCAACACCTGGAAAAGCAGTGGGTAGGTAGAAGATTTCACTGATCAAGATGAAGTCAGAACTAGGCATCGTGGGCTCTAGAGACAGAAACTCTGACCAACTCACTTATCCCCTCTCCTTCAGAGAAGATAACACTGCCTTAGGAAAGGGTACTAACGCTGGGCTAAAGTGACATTTAGAGGTGATTCACCCTTTTCCGGAGTTTTCTGAAGAGTGGCCTCAGGTAGGACTCTGTCTGTTTCTGGGTGGCGCTGTTCAGCTTCCCCTGCACTCCCCGTTTCACGTAGTCTTCCCTGGCGTTCAGCTCCTTGGCCCAAACTCCGAGGAGAAACTGCAAGGGAGGAGGCACATCTGTGTCATGGTGCCATCTAGTGACCTCCCCGGCACAGCAGACGGGAACAGCGGGTTAAGCCACCACGGCAAAACGAGTTAAGAAGGCAAGAGCCTCCCTCAGAACAGACTGGCAAAGAGGAACAGGAACAACCCTCCCGTCCTAAACGTATACACACACATTAACGCTTCAGCTCCCGCTGTGACTTCGATCATCACAACAGTTACACCGGGACTGGCTCACTCCTTTGAGAGGCAACACAGGCTTCTTGCCAGGAAACAAGGAAGCAATTTTCTGCTATCCACTTGAACCTGTGGCCTTCCTTTAAAATTCTCTTATTCCACGTAACAGTGTCGGGTGACATTCCAATTCAGCTTTCACTGTTCCTGGGAAACTCCTCAGAAGATTTTTGATGCCACAGGACTACAGAGAGGCAACTACATAAAAGTGCCTCAATTATCACACGGAAATCAAAACTGTGTTTATTTTGTCTGGAAAAGCAGGACCAGATTCTGAAGAATGCTGCTCTCCCAAGAGCTCTCTCCCAGGTGTAGCAGAAATCCCTGTTGTGACTAACAAAGGCTCTGGAGTGCCAAGCAAGTCAAAAACCCCACATTTTTAGCACAATGTGTTTTTTCTCGGGCAGCTTAAGCCAGCCCTTCTATTCATGAAATGTATCTGCATGGTGCTAAAAATATGACACGGCTACAAAGTAATTAATCCAAAAGGGTTTGTTACCTTCAAGAACTTTGTTATGATGTCCATATCATAGTGGTCATCACCACGTCCTAAGGATTCTCCCAAAGCCTAAAACAGGAAAAAAACACAATTATTTCCACTTTGTCTGCTGCAAGTTTGCCACCACCACCACAACCAAGCTCACCACATTGCAAGCTGTAATGAACTCCACCAGAAATCCAAAACACTGGTTAGGAAACAGAATCAAACAGCTATACATGCTACTGAGGTTCATTTATCTATTAAAAACACTTACATCAAAAAGGCAATATGATTTACTTCTAAAAAGCTAGTGCAATAGTAATTCTCCATTCATTAACTACTAAATTATTGGCACAATTAGCAGCTGACAGCACCGTATCAAGGGGAACTGTGGGTGCACAGCTTTTTTGAGATCCCCAAAGCCATCAATTAACCTCATTATTTTGTTAAGCTATTTCAATTCTCTGATGTACAGGGGCTTTTTACCATTTATTTGTAACTGTGAATTTGTGGAAACAAACCTAAAAAAGAAAGAAACCCCAAACCAAGTAACAAACCACCAAAAAAAACCACCCAGCTGTATGCTTCAATATTCTACTTTCCTGCCAAAATCTCAAAACTGTTAATACTAACAGCAATTTTAGAAACATTTTCCAGTAAGTATAGTTGGATTTATAATATATTTCCATTGTCCTTGCATTTCCAAAGTGAGTTTTATTTTTAAAATCTCCTAGACTGGGAGCACAGTTCAGTGTAAGCCTTTATGCTCAAGGCAATGCAGCTGAAGTAGCATAAAATTAAGACTGCAGTGTTTTCAAACTTTTTCAGAAAAAGATTGCTTTCATGGCTCAAACCAAGCCTGCCCTACAACCCCAAGAAGAGGATATTTTGAGAACTAACAGATCAATAAAATGCAGCTCCATTACAACCGGTTTCCATCCTGGTACTGCAGTTATTTTAAACCAGAACCTCTGGCAGCCTAACAAAAAAGCCAGACTATTTCCTAATAACGTATTCACTTAAGCTTTCAGTTATAAATCAGATTATTTCTTAAACACACTTTTGGAAGGATGTTATTAACTCCTGCAAAGAGTTTTGAAGATTAAGGGTAAAAGTCTTCAGCTCAAGTTAATGTGCTTTTCAAAACATTACCCTAAAATACCAGGTGTTGAATGCATTTCATGGCACTCACTCTCTGCTCACTCACACAAATACCACAGGGTTCTTGCAGAACAAAGTAGCCATTTGCACTCAAGTTTCTGGGACACATCATCTCTGCACTTCTTGTATTTCCTGTTATCTGCCTACTTCTGATGTTCACTTTTTTTTTTTTTTTTCCCATCCTGGATGTTTATGTATCAAACATTCTAGTGTGTCTATTTTTTCAGCATCCATATTTCTTGTATAGGGGTAATTCACTGGTACTGAGCTCACTACCCTCTGAAATATTAATTGGAAACACTTCAGAATTTATGACCAGGTAATGTGTTGTAAATAAACTCTCCACCTCTGAAACCCCTGCAGAAGGAATCCTAACTGCACCACTGTCTTTGCAGGCAACACCTGCCCTCCTTCTGATGAAGTGCTGTGAACAAAGACCACCTGAGTTTTCACTTGTCTACTGTGAGCACCTACAGTGCAACTCAAGGCTTGGAAACCTGAATTCCCTATTTAAGGATACTTCAGAATGCCTCAGTCAGCTATTGAAAACAAGGCTAACTTTGTCTGAACAATCCTGAAGCTTTCTCACAACAACATCTAACATCCCTTAGTTAAGATACAACCATCCCATACTTCCAGTTCTTCAATAGTGGTATTCTCCTCATGGACTTTCAGGTCGTTCTGGGAGTCGTCGTCTCCTGCTTCTTGTCCGCCTACAATTTCATTCAGATACTGCTGATCAATCTTATCCAAAGCAGCCTTCAGGTCATTTCTCAAGCCCTAGAAAAGATAAAAAAACTACCAATTTAGGAAAAGAACCTCAAGTAAATAAAAGCAGCTCAATACTGTCACTGTGAGCTTTCAGCTGCTGTTTAAGAAAAGCCAAATTCTGTAAAAATGTGTATAAGGGTTTAGCTTTGTTGTCTGAATTTAAACTAATTCCAAGGACTGCTTCAGCACTTAACAAAAAGCAGGTGCATGAACTTCTGGAATGTTCATACCTATCAAAAAGACTTTTTACAGCATTTTTACTAAAAAAGCATGGAAGACAGAATCAGCTTCTAGGACTTTCTTCAAGACACTGTCTCCAAGCAATGGACTGAAACACCCCAAAACAAGCAGAAAACAAACCATAACCATCATCAGCTCTACAAGTCTTTAGATCTGCCCTAAAAAAAGCTGAAATAAGGTAATACTCCTTCAGTACCATCACGGAAAACATTTATATTGTTTCCTTTTATTACAAATTATTTAAACATACAAGAGTGTTTTATATATATTAAATGTTTGAAAGCCCCTACTACAGAATAGGTGATTACAAAACCAGAATCAGTTTAAAACCATATATAGAGGGAGTTAAAAGCTGCTTTTAAATAGAACAAGAGACTCGCCTTAGTCACAGTTGGGGGATTTGCATTCCTGCCTTGAGACATAAAATATAAAGCTCCATAAAGGAGTATGACAGTTCTTACCCTCAGATAAATTCAGCCACTCCACAGGGAATGGATATGCACAGTTATTTCCTCTCTTCCATCATCATACTTGGCTGTCTGGAACGTTTCTATTAATCATTTAGTAGCCTAAAAACATCTGAACCACAAACTGGTGGTGACTAAGCAACACACAGAATCCCCCCAGACAGCAGCAGGAGTGGCTGAAACACGTAACACACAAACCCAACACAGTCCTCTTTGTGAGCTCACTGTTTCCTAATACACCTATAATTGTCATCCATGTCACTCAAGGGGAAGCTTTCATTAGCAGAATTTTTATTTTTAAACATTCAGATCTGTGTATTTTAAAGGCTTGAAGAGGAAAAGGCCTTCCTTTTATGGGCACCTCCAGCAACACCATTTGAAACAATTCAGGTTGGCACAAATTAGGGAAGAAAATCCAAAACATCACTCTCTTAGTAGGGTTACGGTTACAAATTTGGTTGACAGCAAACGCAAAGCAAACCCCAACAGTATCTTCTCACTTAACTGATCATTTCTTAAGACACAAGAAATAAATTAGTTGCATCTTTTAGTCAGTTTTTGAACTGATGGCTAATTTAAAGGGAAGATGGGAAAAAATGAAGTTTCTGTAACAAACCATCCCCTGGAATCCAGGGATTTGAGAAATCATTTATATGCCTCAGAGACAGGATGTAGTCCTGCTCTTACTAACCTGTAGCTTCTCAGGGATGCACATAATCACAAACACAGGACTGATTTAACAGTAAATGACTGTTCTCTGCTGGTTAAAAACAGGAGCAGCACAGGCTGGGGTATTAGTGCCACTTGAAGGCCCCTCTTCCAACTGACAAGGGCCTGGAAGGTTCCTAGGGTTGAATTCTTACATAAATGTAATTGTGCACAAAACTCTGACATTTAACACAGTTTCCCAGGCAATAAATGAGATGGAGCAGATAGCTCTCTTTGCTCTGTATTACCTTTCTTTCCTGAAAATTAAGTTACTGAAACCGATTTTCAGCAACTTTTATTGGGTTACTCATTGATTATGCCACCACAAGTAAGTAACTAAGAGCCAGTCTTACCTTGTTCACTTCAGGTGCAAGAATTTCTATCTTCCTCAGACGCTGAAATGCATCATAATCTGTTTCTCCAAACAGCCTGATGGGCTCACCCCTCTCTCGTAACCTCCTGATAACCTGAAAAGAAATCAAAGCATTCCCTGAAGCATAAAGGAAGCAAAATAAAATCCAGAATGACAGATTTATTTACTTTGCTTAGAATAACAAGCTGAGTTGGACTGGAGAGGAAATGGCAGTATTTTAAGCAGTAGAAAAATGTTCCAGACACTTTACAATCTAAATATAAAATTCCCACGGTACTTCAGTGAAAGGTCATTCCAAATATTACCGATCTAAATTTTGCATAAAATCCCAGGCTGTTTGACACAGCCTAACTTCCTCCTGCTCTGACTTGTTTAAACAAATACACAAAAATCATCCCTCTGGCAGAGCCTAAAGACCGTTTTCAAAATCACAAAGGAACTTGACGATTATCTCACTCACCTATTTGCCTGGGCAATAAAAATACTAACTGAGCTGCAGGTTACCCCAGCACAGCTACAAGATGATCTGCTGAAAATTCCCACCCTTAAGCATTTGGAAAATATGCAGTCCCATAATCTAATGCTATTAAAAAAGAGATATAACAGAAGTGAAAAAGCCTCTCCTGATTGATTTGCAAAGTCGCAGACAGAGACAAAAAATGAGCTTTATTCTCCCAATTCCTTATTTCATGCATTGCTTGATAAATCTCTGTATTCTTACCATTACTCACAGAATCACAGAATGGTTCGAGTTGTAAGGGACTCTAAACATCATATGGTTCCAATGCCATGGGTAGGGACACCCACCACTAGACCAGGTTGCTCAGAGCACCATTCAACCTGGCCTTGAACACTTCCAGGGAGGGAGCATCCACAGCTTCTCTAAGCAGCCTGTTTCAGCACCTCAACATCCTGAGAGGAAATTTTTTCTTAGCATCTAATCTAAACCTACTCTCTTTCAGTTTGAAACCATTCCCCCTTGTCCTGTCACTACATTTGACAAAAAAGTCCTTCTCTGGCTTCCTTGTAGGCCCCTTCAGATCCTGGAAGGCTGCTGGGAGGTCTCCCCCCAACCTTCTCCAGGACAAACAGCTCCAACTCTGAATTAACCACTCAAACTAAACAACTGAACTAAATTCATTTAGTCCATCAAACAATTGGCTAATTGATACAACTGATAATTGGGCTTACACTTCAGTTCATGTCACCACCTCACTGTGCCAACAGACTGGTTGGACAACAAGAAACTAATATCGAGACCTCATTTTGTTTATTCAGACTGGGTGTCTTGCTGTAGGTTGGCAAATATTTAACTTGCAAATGTATCCAAAGAAACAGGGATGGAAAGAGCTCTGGCACAGCAATACCTAAATCTGGACCAAAACACACACACCAAGTGCATCAACAGCAGAGAGAAAGTGCATACACAGGACATAAAGACCAGAACTCAAACCAAACGTGAGACCAGCGGTTTGTGTTACAAGTCCTGTAAAAAACAGTGAGCATCCTACAAAACTAAGGGGACATGTGACATTCCTGGATGACCTCAGCTGTGAATTTCAGTACTTCCAAGATTAGGGTTCATTCTGCACTTCTGAACTTCCTGCTTTGGGCTATGGATCTGTTTGTGAATGTACATCCACACGGGCATTTTTACCCTCAGAGAGGGCAAGGAACACCCCAGCTGCTCTGGCTTCAGGACTGCTTCTTCTAGAGGCCAAGGTGAACTTCCAAAACTTAAATTTCTAAATTTGGTTCAGACCAATATGCTACAAAGAAAAGAAGCTGGGGGAAAAAAGTCTTGGAGAAAGTCAGCATGCCATCATCAGTATTATCCAAGGATAATGCTAAATATTTAGGATACTACTCCAGAAGTCATCTGAAAGAGCTGCAAAATGTTAGAAACCATCTGTATAAATCCGTATAATGAAGAGGCTCTACCCATCTTTATCTCCCCATGCATTCATTTGCAGAGCAGGCCCTTGATAAGCAAAGATAAACACTAAATGCTGACTGTAAAAATGGAAACTTATTATTTAATAAAACTGTCATAAAAAGTACAGTTCACTAGGAAAAAAAAAACCAGCCCTAATAAGAAATTTCAGATACATTTGCTGTGAATTCAGGGAGTCTGTTTATGCTGATTTATTTTACCTCCTGCCTGGAAAGGGTCATTGGCAACTTTTCTTCTGCCAGTTCCAGTTCCAGCACTGGATTTGATGCAGCCAGTGGTTTCTCCTCCTCTTCCTGCTGCTGTACCTACATTCAACAGACATAGTTACCAATGTGTGATGGAAATAAACCCATATATTGATGCTAAATGATATAAAGCAATGTAAAGATACAGAACTCCGGGACACAGACTTTAATAGGACAATATAAACCTTTAGTTTCATAGTTTTATGGTCTGTAATTGCATTTCCCAGAACAATAAATGTTCTTGAGACTATCAGAAATTTACTAACACTTCTGCAGGTTGCAGGAAGCAGTCTCTAGAGCAAACAGAAAGGACAATTGCTGAAGTCTGGCAGTCACTTCGGCAGGCAGATGCCAGCACTGGTGCCAAAGACAGCAAATCCACCCTCTGCTTGTTGATTCCTGCCCCTGCTTCACCCTCCTTACCCATGCAAAAGCATTTGCATCACTGTGTGATGAACCAGAGGGGGGAAATGATTCAAACAGAAAAATAATTTGACGAGGTACTGTTCCCAGCCCTCTCGACCTCCTCATCCAGCTCACCAGGCACAGCACACAGAAGGACTCAGGGGCCAGAATGAAAACCCAAGAGCAGGGAGAGAGCGGAGCTGCTTCTTCCAGTGTCAGCTGAAGTGTTTATTACCTACAACTTCAGTGACCTGAGCACAATTAGCAGTGATCCACGGCTCCTGTTGGGTTTTGAAGGGTGCTTGGTTTGGGCAATGCATCTTTCTAACAAGCTTGCCAGGTTCAAAATAAAAAAAATGATACCTACAACTCCTCATAGGAAGGGGATCTCATTAACAACTCCTCTTAATCCAAAAGAAGGTCCCTGACTCAAACAGAGCATTCCCTCTGCTTTACTCAATATTTTAATAATGCAAAACAACTCTTTGATCAAAGTCACTTTGAGGCACAGCTATGTAGCTACAGCTCCCTGTATAAGCTCAAATTCAACACTTCTGACAGCAAGGAGCAGATTGCTGGTGGTAATATTCCTGTAACAAGGGAATATTTCCAGTGCTCACTCACATCTTGGCTTTTCTCTGATGCCTTATTAGAATTTATTTCCTTTCCATACTTGTTAAAAGGGAAACAATCCAATTAATCCCACAGCACCCTTCAGCATTCCCTGTGCATGGACAGCACACTGTCAGCTCCAGTCTGCATTTGGGTTGACCAGTTTGATGAATGGACAGAATTTTTTTTTTAAAGAACCTTTTTTATTCTTTCTGGCCACCATTTCATTCTTTCTGGCCAGCCTTGCACTCAGGTGTCAGTGTCACTCCATGTAGCTGGAAAGATCCATCCCTGGGGCTCCTGCTACAAAATTCAGCCACATATCTACACATTCAATGCTGTATTAGCAAACACAGACAAAAAAAAAAAATCAATCCTACAAGCACACGTGTTTGAAACAAACAAGGAAGTACAACCAAATCAATATTTAACACAAAGGGAAGGGAAAAATAAAACTTCCATCAGTGCAGGAAAGGGGGAATTGACAGAGGACAGAAAATATGGAAGAACTGTATTAAATAAAAAAAAATATATATATAAACATATAAAGAAATATACTCCCATGGCAGAAGGATACATACAAATTTTAACTTACAAACATTCTTGAAATGATAAAGAGACAGCAGCATTGGGGGAAAAGGTTTGATCCACTCTGTCAGCTGGACTCCAAATTACAAGCAGTATCTTTACCTCAGTTATTTTTCTTTCAGTGCTTTCTTTAAGCAAGTGAAATTATTACAACTTATCAAGTCTAAGCAAAGCAAAAACGCACCTGCATTTAAAAAGAAATCAGTCTGTGTTCCACATCTCATTAGCAGAGTGAAGGACAAATGCAGAAATCTGGGAGGCTCTAAAAAGGTACTAAGTTCAAAAAAGTAACTTATTTTAAAACCATTTTCAGGGTTACATTTCACACCAAAACTGGTGCTGCAGCAGCACAGGTGACACCACTTTAGCCACCATATGAGGTTCTGAGGGACGCAGGGTAATGCTCAGAAAGCATCACGCAGCCATTTCCACTTGGAAGGTTCTCAGAACTTCCTCACGACCATCTGCTGCAGGTTCCAAGAACGGCTTTGGCACCGATACTGCTCAATATTCACAAACAGATCAAGGTTTCAGAATAAGTCACTAACTGGGTAAAGGTCACTTGAAAACAAAGCTCCTATTTGTGCCTTGTAAGAGCAAACAAGATTATGAAATTCTGTCTTCCACAGGGAATGCATCCCCCCTCCCAGACACGTCCCATCAGGCAGGCAAGGCAGGCACACGCACTTGTAAAAGACAACAACATTCTTTCCATTTCAGTAACCCCTCGCCCTGACACCGTTACAAGGCAGATAAAGCCTTCCAGATCGCCCATTTGTTGCAAAACAACCCCCCCCCCCCGAGGTCACCAATTGTTTCTCATATTTTTGCCAGCAGGAACACAAGTGCTGTTGTTGCACAGTTCCAGCGCTGGATGGTCGATGACGGCCAAAACCCAAATACAAGCACATGAAAGTTGGCAGATCTCTTTGATGTGCACCCACACTATACTGATTTCTTTTGTACGCTTTGACAAGACCATGAAAATTGTCTGAATGGGGTAAAATTATCCAAATGTATCCATTTTTTTCCCGATAAGGGGGGAGGGGAGGGAAGGTGGCTATATCAGATCCAGTGTTCATGCCTAACAGCACAATTTAAAAAATAAAGGAAGACAAGCCTTGATCCCGAGCCACTTCATGCTTTCCACAAAAAATAAATAAATAAATAAATAAATAAATAAATAAAAGAAGAAATAAAAGCCAAACCATAACACAAACTTAAGTAGCTGCATATCATGCACATCTTTTTTCCTGCATTGAAAATGGTTTTGGAAACTCATACCTCTCCAGGTGGCTTCTCATTTACAGGCTAATGTATAACATTAACAGATTGAACAAAGAACAACAATTATCATTAACAACATTGATACTAAAATTGATAATAAAATGCAGACTTTAAAGCAAACACACAGAGCCCTGAAAGAACAATTCCCATACCTTGTAGCCACATCTCTGGAAGTAGGCCTCCTCTTCCTTTTTAGCTAACTCACTGCGCTTGAAATACTTCTTATTTCCCTAAAAGAGAGGAAAGCTGTCACCAGCTCACAGTTTTGTGTGGTTATGCAAAGCCAGCTCACACCTTCTCACTCGGTTTGGTGGATTCAGCTACATCCTTTCCCGGGGATGGGAAAGGTTCTTTTCCACGGAAATAGAACCAGTTGGAAGCACCTCTGAAATCAGCAATACAGATTGACTTGGCAGGTTATGTGTATGAGCAGAATTGAAAGCACAATGTGCTCACCAGCACTTTAAAAGGAGCATGTTCTTTGCCACGTAAAGGCCCTCGTGGTCGCTGCTGTAAAGTTTCACTTCAGATGTTCACAACAGGGCCGAGGTTGTTTGGACAAACCACACAAAAGGCGTGGTTTACATTTAATTCTACATTAAATCAAGGAGGTGGGAGAAAACACTTTTGCACAGAGCATTTTACAAGCTTTCTTGCAGAAGCGCCCCTGAAGAGACATCCCAGCCACACAGCAGCTGGAAAAGGTGGTCACCCCAAAGCACTTTGTTTCACTAGGAAGAACTATGACTTCTTCCTTGGCGGTTTGCCTGCCTGACCTAGGAGAGCCTCTGGTGCCAAACCCCCGACTCGGGCAGCCCTGGAAGTGCTCTCTTTGCTGTGGGGATTTTTAGGCACTCACACGGAGCCCTCAGGGCAGGGGTGAGGGCACAAACCGCGCTCTGCTCACCAAGGCACGCTGAAACAACTGAACCCGCTCCCAAACTCCTCCCGAGTCCTCCCCGACCCCATCCTGGGACACTCCTGCTCCTCCTTCCCAAACCCCATCCCAGGTTCGGGAACTCCCAGCCTGGGCAGCTCCGACACCCCCCCCCCCTTCCCGGGCCTGTCCCGCCTCGCCCTTGCCCCGGGAGGCTCCCGGCGCCGCTCCCGGCCGCTCTCACCCCCAGGAGCTCCTTCTCCTCCAGCTGCTGCCGCTTCCTGCTGATCTCGCGCTTCAGGATGTCCATGGCGAACCCCGGGAAGTGCCGCTGGAAAACAACGCCGTCACTTCCGGGATTGGCCCCGCGGCGCCGCGCGGCGCCCCCTGGCGGGCGGGAGGAGCGGCGGCACTGGGGGGGTGCCGGTCCCCAATCCCAAGGGACGGAGCGGCGGGAACGGCAGGGAACGGCCTCGAGTTGCGCCGGGGGAGGTTTAGATCAGATATCAGCAAAAGTTCCTTCAGAGTCCGTGTAACGTCATGCTGCTGAATGTTTAAAGTGATAACGGCAGGAATTTTATGACACAGAGCAAAAATGCAGATGCTTTCTACCAAGGAATGTAGCAAAAGAGGTGGAAGGTTAAGTTTTGAAGAGGTCTTTCCCTATTTTAGTACAGCTGTTTTTATATAGGGGTGTTACAGGTTCTTTCAAGAGAGGCTCCGTGCAATTCATTCAGGTGTCTTCTCTGTTTGGCTTAAAAAAATCTTCGGGGCAGAGTCTCTCTAACTGTGTTTGTGCAGTGCCTGGTGCGACGGGCCTCGGCTGCAGACGACAGCTAATATCAGATAAATCATGGCATCAGGTATGAGGAAAAATGTCTTCACCAAAAGGGACCCTGTCAAGCATCCGAACAGGCGGCCCAGGGAAGTGGTGGAGTCACCGCCCCTGGAGGGATTCAAGTGACACGTGGATGTGGCCCCTGGGGACGTGGTTATTGGTGGGTTTGGCAGTGCTGGGTTAATGGTTGGACTCGATGATCTTAGAGGGCTTTTCCAACCTAAATGATTCAGTGAGGCTTGTTACTGGGCAGTAACAAGTAACAGGGTGCAAATGCCACCTGGGAATGGCAGGATGCTTTCCTGGCTGCTCCCGGAGTGGGTGTGATTCTGCCACCAGCCAGCTCAGTCCAAGAGGCCTAACAACACCCCAGGGGAAATCATAGCATTGTTTTGGCTGCAAAAGACCTTTAAGATCATCGACTCCAGGTGAAGCAACACCAACAAACAGTGGAGGGTTTAACTGCAGGGTGCTCCAATATACCCCGCTCCTTCCCCAGGTGCTGGTATTAAAAACCAGTGAGAAGATGAGAAAGGTTTGCACTCCCTGTCCCCTGTGCAGTCTGTGTACCTGAGACAGCGTTTTGGGATTTACCTGATTCCTGGTTTCTGCTTCCTTCAGGCCTAGAGGACCGAGGTAGCTGGTAGGGACTGAGCTCCTCAGTGTGTATTTCCCAGAGGTAAATGCCCTTGTCACCAGGCACACAGCATTTGTGACATGGTCAGTAGCACAAAAAAAATCTTGTTTTGCTTATTTTCCTGGGTTTGTCCAGCGTTTTCCATCCTATGGCTTGTAAAGTCCAAGGGGTCCAGAAAAACTTCAAAGAATGAGTAAGAACAGCCAGTTCTCACTATGTTTAAATTTAGCAGGGCCATACCTTGCTGGAAGCAAAGGCCACCAAACACTGATAGGGTGGAACTCACTGTACCTTTAGCTCCTCTTAGGAGCTAAAGCCTGGCTGGTGGCAGCACCTCTGTCTCCTGCCCCCACTTGCTATGGCACACAGCAACTTCTCCCTCCCTAGGTCCTTCCAGATTTTTTTTCACCTTTAGGTCCTCCCAGATTTTTTCCTTGCCTTTCCCCACTGTAAGTTCCATTGCTCCAGTAGCTTGTTTTGGAGGGCTGTAACCACAGCTGGCTTTTCACCTCCTTTAGATAACCTGAGCCATGTGCCAGGGCTCTTCCTTGCAGAAAATGGTTTACAGGTTTTGTTTAACCCCAGGCTGGAGGGTTCTGGATTTAGAAGTAATGCCCTGCTTTACCTCAGGCTTGAATGCAATCACTTTGCAATGAGGAAGGAGGAACAGCCCTCCTACGCTTTTTCATAGTTCTTCTAAGAGGAAATTATATCACATCTGATGGGGATAGGATCCAAGAATGTCTCAGTGTGAGAGTCCCGGGGTAAAATGTCCACATCTGGGGAAGGGTATAAACTGGGAGGCTGTGGGAATTCTCTGTGGTAGATCCTGCAAATTAATCCAGATGCTGTGTCAGAGCAGCAGCTGCCCCCCTCAGTTAACTGGAGAGTAGACATAACCTTAGACCTGGCTTCATTTCCTGCTCCAGTTTGACATTGGCCTGGTTTTGCCCAGGACAGAGATAATTTTTTTCCTAGTAGCTGTTACAGTTCTGTGTGTTGGATCTAGTATGAGAAGAACTGATAACACACTGATGTTTTAGTTGTTGCTAAGCAGAGTTTATACTAAGTCAAGGACTTTCAGCTACTCATGTCCTGCCAGCAATGAGACTGGGGGGTAAAAGAAGTTGGGAGGGGCCAGGACAGCTGACACCAGCTGAGCAGAAGGATATTCCACACTCTGTGGCATCCTACTCAGTGTATAAATTGAGTGGGGGAAAGCTGGTTGAGGGCTGCTGCTTGGAAACTGGCTCAGCAGCTGGTGAGCAATTGCATTGGACATCACTTTTTTTGTTTATTCTAATATTATTTTTATTACCACCATCATGATTATTATTCTTTTCTTCCTTTGCTGTCCCACTGAATTGTCTTTCTCTCAACCCATGAATCTTCCCACTCTTGCTTTTCCAATCCTCTCCCACATCCCTCTGCAGCGGAGGGCAGAGTGAGAGAGTGTCTGTGTGCAGGCTGGGATTAAACCCTTAAAACATTACATCTGAATTTAAGACAGTACCAGATGAAGGGGAAAACCAACTCACACACAAAATTCACATGAAAGATGCAGTTACTACCAGGTCACTCTTAGACCAAAGATCTCCCACTTTTTAGAAACCAAACCAAACAAACCAACAAGGTGTCAGGGAGGGGCATAAGTGGCATGGAAGCAGCTGAATAGTTCATGTTGCTAAAACAACTTTGGCAAGGTTTGAAAGTAATTCTGTACCTCTAAAAGGTGTCTAAAACAATGACACAACCCTTCCACAATTGCCCTTCTTCCAGTACTCCTGGTTCTGTGCTCTCTTGCCTCCAAATCACAGCACCACCCTGTAATGTAAATCCCCTTTGTTATCAAGACAGTTGTCTTGTCCTCTGAACCAGAAGTGGCAATCTACAAAGTGCCACATCTCCTAAAAGAGTTACTGTATGGGCCATTCACTTAAGAGTTGGACTTGATGATCCTTCCTGATCCCTACCAACTGAGAATATTCTGTGATTCTGCATATATGTAGGTATGTTTGGCATTCACCAATATCTCTCTGAAGAAAGAAAGGGAGAAGAAGAATCTTTGGTGTCATCCATCTCCTCAGAATTTCTCTTTTTGAAGAGATTACAAAACCCTCTGATGTATAAGAAGTGGTGGTGTCTTCTTTCACTGACAGCTCATGGGGAGATCCAGTCTTGCTCCCTGTCTGATCTCCAGGATGGCAAATCTGGAGTCAGGGAAGCATTTCCTGATGGACATTGAGGTTGTTGGATTGTTGAGATGGTTGGGTCAGGTCTCAGCTGGACACTGTTCAAAGCTCCTCTTTTCCTCAGAACAACCTCCTGAGGCCATACCTATGTTGGCAATTTGTTACAGTCCCTGCCTGCTTCTTATGGATCTCTCATCCTTTGTCTCCATTCACACACATTCCTTGGATGTAGGGTGGAATTCTGGAGCACCACTTGCTGGACAAGCTCATGGCACACATGAAAGCTCACAGTGTGAGCTCTGCTCCTTGGATCACGCAATGGAAACTGTTCCTCCACACCGCAAGAGGATTTCTCCGAGTCTCCATTGTTCTGAGGAGCCCTCAGACTGTGAGGATTGTTTAACTGTGTTATGAAAGCAGACAATTCCTTCCCTGTGCCGGTCCCACATCCATGCCATGATCCCTTTGATGGCATCACTGCATAAGATATTTTTAACATGGTGAGATGTGTGTTTCTCCAAGCTGTATTTCAAACTATCAGTTTATCATATATGGCATTACTCTGCTCATTAGAGTCAATTAGATCACTGTTATAAATCCCAAGCTTTACTATTTGTTTTCTACTGCTCCTGTTTTGCTCTTTCAGGGCAATCCTGCTGGTTTGGTACCACAATGGCTGTGTATTTCTGTCTCACATGTGATTAATAAATGTGATATTTGCTGTCAGGGCTGTAGCCAGGCCTTTAAGCTCTCCCAAAACCACTTGCAGAGTATTGAGAGCTCTCAGCAGCTGAGCTTGGGTCTGGAAGCAATAGTGTTACCCGTGTTTTTCCTAGATCCAGGTTTCCACAGACCTCTGGAACAACCCCGTGGAGTTAAACCACAAAGCTACTTTTAAGTAATTTGCTTTAAAACATTCCATATGAAATCAAGGCTGAGAAGGGAAATCTAGAAGTTACTCAAAATCTTGGAACATTCATAAGAGCCTTGTAAGTAATAGAAATACAAGCTTAAAAACATACAAGAGGTGTTTCATTCCAATTTCTTGCTGGTTAAGTGATTGCTTAGCTTTATATGCTGCAAGCCAACTGTCAACTTACAGAAAGATTATTGAAGGCAGCTCAAATAACCCAGTTTCACTCAAATAACCCAGATGTCACCTATTTGTCAAAGTGGTAAAACGGATCAGAATAATTTTGGTTGCTCTCAGCTGTTGTATTCAGTTTATATTTAGTTGTTTTCAGGTTGTATTCAATCCTTCATGGGCACACAGTTTCACTTATCTATTTTATATTAAAACAGGGGAAAACCCTGCCCAGCTCAGCCAGCATATGCTTTCAGTTGCACACCGGAGGCAGAACTGATGCTTTACAGCTGACCGAGATTGCAGAAGAACTCATTTCAAGCAACACAGGGCACAGATGACTCTTGGAAACCTTTTTCAGACAGGTGCATGGTTCCTTTTATTCATCTTCAAAACAAAATAAAATCCGAAAATTGGATAAAATTGCCTTTGTACCATGACTAAGAATGTCCACTCCTGGCAAAGGGAGCTCCACATCAAGCCTCACTCTTTCCTTCTTTTATTAAAGCTTCCCTTCCTGAACTTTTTGGGAGGGATTAACGCATCCAGTTCCCTATTCTTTACCCCACATTTA